AGAAGTTTGCAGGAATCACCAACAACTGATCTTACGTGGAGCTAGTACGTAATAGGACGCGGGCAAAGGTGGCTGCAACATCCGCAGCTGCAGCGAAGGAACGAGATTTATAGGAGACAGAGGCGAAGTACGAGATACTTTGGAAAAGATTGGCCGAGGAAGTAGATAAGTGGAGGTATTTGGAAAAGACCTGTGAGGGTCTTCGTGACGACATTGAGGTCGCGAGGTGTGCGACTGTGGATCTCCATGATAGGCTGGAAGCGTCCCGGACCGCCTTCAACGCAGAGTCGCAAAGAGTTGACGAACTGACGATAGCTTCGGAGAGGAAGAAAGAGGAGCATGCAGCCAAGCTGGCAGCGAAGATGAAAGATCTGGCATAGTGTGAAGCTGCTAAGATTGCAGACCAGGAGTTGATAGAGAAGCTAGAGGCCTAGTGCAATGAGTTGAGGTCTCAAAGATCGCAAGCCGAGGAGCAGTTATGTGAATCGGAGGCAAAACAGTCGGAGGCGGAGGAGAAGAATAGACAATTAGCGGAGTAGACAAACGATGTCTTGACCAAGACGTTGAACCAGTGTTTGCAAGGGTTTGTATTATGGCAGGTCGAGACGCAGAAGTGGTTGCAGTTACGAGATCTTGAGCGTCGTGCGACTTTTCACCCTCACATTAACGGCTCTACGGAACGGGTACACATTAAGGCTGAGATTCTTCTCTATCAATGGATTAATAGGGCGCAAGACGACTAGGCTGAATGGCTACTAGTAGTACATCTAGCGCTAAACAGACGAGACTTCACATCTACGGGTGTAAGTCCTAGCTTTCTAGGCCACGATTACCCGTTACAGACTATAGACCCTCAGACGGATGTTGTTGCTTATGCAAACCCCAAGTCTCCAATTCAAAAGGCAGATGTTATTGTTGCAAAAGTTAAAGCTATCACAGAATGGGCACAATCATAGATGGCAAAGACACAACAAGACCAAAAAATATAGAGTAATTGTTCTCGGAACGCTTCGTCAACGTATAAGGTTAAAGACAAGGTTTACTTGAGCTTATGGCATATACAGACCATCAAGCCTAGTAGGAATCTTGATGATTGATCTGCAAAATTTACAGTTAATGAGGTTATTGGTCCATTGAGCTTTCGGCTTGATACACTTATTAGAGTTCACAACGTCTTTCACTCTGACCTATAACGGCCCTCTGTCGAGCCAGGTCGTTATATGTCAGTTTTTTTTTACGTGACCCTCTTGCCACATTACAACATATCACCGTCTTTTTTTATGGATTTATTCATATGTTTGGATGTATCTTTAGATCCAAAATGTTTATTGTTCTTGTCATTTTTTGAAATGACTTATCTAAATCACATTCAGTGCCGTACAAGAAGAAAATTATGTGATATAATACAATAGAAGATGACAACATCATCTTTTATTGTAAGTTGTCAGTTGTCAGTTAAATCACTTACAACCTCTTTCTAAGTGATTGTTTCTTTATCATGATGAAGCCAGACACGTGATAATGACCAGTATGATACAAGCAATTAACTTAGAATATGAAGAACCTTTTTCTCACAGTAATCTTCTCTTCAAAATTTGTATATCGATAACAAAATCACAGAATGCGTTGATGTGCATAATCAAAGTGCATCTTGTTGCAAATCAAATAATGGACAATAAAAATCAAATGACAAAGAGTAGAGTGAAACATCAACATCATATATAATTTTATTGACATGCAATTCATGTGAAAGGATTAGACTAATTAAGATTGACGGTATATTCAATTTAACTAATGCATTGATCAAAGTTATTATCTTGAAGAGCTTTAGTAGAACATTGTGTTACTATGCAAGTTTTGCAAAAGTAAATTTACTAACAAATTTTCGTTACATCTATATATTTTTCTAAATCTTCATTTGGCTATGGCTTAATATGAACTTTAAATTTAAAACAAAACTATTGTTAGGTTTATTTAAAAACTTTTTGCAAACTCATTATAGACTAAGAAGTTTGCTGGTACTTCCATCTTTGTTAAAGAGAAACATTGTTATATGTAATCCTAGTTGGAGACTATGCTTTTAATGTAACATGACATTACGCTTTAGGGTTTCGGATGAACTAGCTGTGTCTTTGCTATACTACTTAGCGTGACGAGGAGACTAGTCGCGCTAAAAATTATATGTGTGTTCTTGTGGATGTAACTTACAAGGCAAAACACGTCACTTTTGCTTTTTCGTGTAAAGATCTATTTGCTTGTTATTGATGCAAAACAATCATTATAGATTTTTTTCATCTTTATGATTCTATATTTAATATTTTTTTAATTGAGCTACTCTTTCTGTCTTTATTGAAACATAGGTAACAATAGTTTTCATATCTTTTGAAATTATTTTACAGTAATATTTAAGATCACTTTATATCCACTTGTATGGACAACAATTTAATACTTCATCTTATGCACATATTACTTTATTAGCCATTTTGATTTTTAGCTGTTCTTACATCATAATAAAACACATTAGAGTGCAATGAATTTTTTCAATTTGTAGCATGTGCTTTATAACTTATATTTTGTTTAGTTTTCAATTTACAACAAAACCCATGAGCATATTACATCAATTTAGAAAAAATAAGAATGAAAACAAAAAAATATTAAACTTAGATTTATTGAAGTTTGAATGATACATGTAGCATTTAAATAAGAAACTGCTCTATTCACAGCAGCAACACACTTAATGAAATCTCAGCATAAGGTTGATACTATTTTTGAAATTTATATAATAAATATTATAATAATGAAGTATTTTCAATTTTCAATCTTAACTATAGGTTTTTATCCTAAAGCATAATCTTTTTTGCAATGTGATTAAATCTCACCTAATTGAAGTTTTCCATTATCTTTCTACGTTCAAATCACTAAGTCTTTGATTTAGTCCTGTGAATCAAAAGTAATATCTATCTGATCAAATAAAACCAAAAACAACCTCAACAATGAACTTAAACCAGATGAATATCATGAAAGTTACAAAAAATAGCTCTACAAACAATGTACATGAGAATTATTTCATGTGAGATAGACAAATCAAAAGTAAATAAAAAATTCTAGATTTTAGCAAAACGTTGAAATCTACGTTTTTCATTTATCAATCTGTGTGGACCTCATATACACTTTCAAATTATTTTTCATATTCATACTTATAGATGACTTAAATGTTAGAATTAAAATAGATGGAAATTTTCATATTATATATTAATTTTTTTTACTCTTTTCATCCAAAGCATGTTGATGTTTGATTATAATTGCATAATTTATTTGAATTGAGTCATAAAAAATTAGTCATATCATATGACGCAATGTGACAAAAATTATATAAAATTCAACAAATTTTATTTAAATATGATTTTTACTTGTATATAGATTTATATAATGTTGAAAATTTATCTTCATTCATTTGATATATTTTCATTCAATTAATAAACATGATTTAAGAATGCAACATAAATATTGATCTTATTTGATATTGAGGTCATAGCTTCATGATCCAAATTCAATCATTCGATATATTTTTTTGCTTAGAAATTTCAATTTGAAATACTTTATTTGATCTTTTAATCAATTCATAATTTCAATTTTTTTTTTAAATCTCCATTTTTCATGAAATTATATTTTTTAAAATTTATAAAAACATTATATATATATATATATATGTTTTAACCAATATAATAGTGCAAAAATATGTATGATGTTTGATCAATTCGTAATGTTGACATGCATATGTCTCAATTAAATGTATGTATAAAAAAGTAGACCTCATATGTGAGTTATGTAATTTTATTTTCTTTCAGGTTATTAATGTTCAACATGAATTATCAAACAATGATTTTTTTCAAGGTTTTAACGGTGATATTGATTTTGGTGTATATACACCAACACACACCCACGCAGTTTAAACCGCGTGATATTTTTTGGGTGTATATCACTAAAACTGTGTGGGTGTGTGTTGGGTGTATATACACTAAAATCACTACACTCGTTTTTAATTCACTCAGGGAATTACAATAAACAAAACAACGTACAGTACATATTTTGCAAAACATATTTTTTTAATTAAAATGATATATATATATATATATATATATGTCATTGTTTGATGGTGGCCACAGTTACATCTTAATATTGAAAGGACATGTGGATACATTTGCAGCGTTAAGAAAGGAAAGGAAAGGATGAGTTAGCTTCTACTATACAACACAAGTGTTATCATCTACTAAACTATAACGATGTGTCTGTTTTTAAATTTTAAATTTTCAGACTCTTTGCATAACATGATCATCTCACTTGGCACTCACAATGATCACCAGAACAAAAGTATGAAGATATTATGTAGCAATATGTCATGTCAGTAATCCCTTCAATTGATGCCGAGCTGTCATAAGTCTCAATCATACATGGTTGATCCCATGCTAACTCACAACAACATGTAGAAATTGTGATGGTCTGTCTTTCCTGCTACGTAGTCTTGTGGCATCCAATTTACACTTAGAATGCAAAGACACATAATGCAAAGTCATTTCTCTGCAGATAGACTGAAGACTTGCTTCTCAATATTTGGCATACTGGCACAGTATACGTAGGAATTCTCCGGCAAGACTGTCGTTTTCACTTCAGCCGAACAATCTTTTACTTCCTGCAACTCATACAGCATCCAGCGGAGTCTATCCACACACTTGTCCGAAGATCACACTCGTCGGCCATATGGCAATCATGAAGGCATGCACAATTAGCTAAATATAAGATCTGTCTTCGTAAGTAATGTACTGAGGCAACCATCGAGACATATTTGTCCACGACGATGATTAAAATCACGGGACAGCGAAGGTGAAAATTGATTCGGGACATCGGCCAGGTCCATAACATGCGCATTAGGGAACAGCTAATAGTCATTTGCATGTAATTAGCATTGTCCCTAATGCCTGGTAATCAGCAGTTACGTGAAGAGAAAGCCAATCAGTTCGAGCTGAACAAGCTATAACAGGGATTAGCTGCCGGGTCAAGTTCGGGAAAAGGTCGGATTGCGATAGAGGGATGGAGTGGACGACGCAGGATTGAAGGCCCCGCAGGGAGGAACGTCCGTTGGTTGGAAAGAAAAGAAGTTCATTAAAGAAAGTGGCAAGCTGAGGAACAGGAAGGAGGAGGAGGAGGAAGTGGTGGTGGAGGAGAAGAACAAGAGGAGGAAGGGAGAAGCAGAGACGAGTTGCGTGCGACCATGGCCCTGGGAAGTCTGTGCCTGCCTGCGATTTCTCTCAAATCTTCGCGCTCTGTTTCTGGATCCGCCGCTAGCGAATTCTTGTGTGGGCAGCAGGGGTTGCAGTGCCAGTTGCTGCTGCCAGGAGGTCAACTTCAATTGCGTAAGGCTGGGGTAAGACGAGGAGCAGCGTTGGTCGGTAGGGGCAAGCTCGGGAAGATCGAGGCAGGATATGGTGTAAGAGATTACGGGATTCCATCGTACGGGACCCCACAGCCTCCTTATCAATCGTCGAAGAGTCCAGAAGCCCATCCCGTCCCAGGCAAAGGGGAGGCCACCGGCTCTGCTCCCGGGACTCCGTCTTTCTGGAGCTACGCTGCTCCCAGGGACTATTCTGCTCCTGGAAACTACGGTGCTCCCCAGTCTTATGGTGCTCCTTCTGCTTACGGTCCGAATGGATCTGCTGGTGCGAATGTAGCGGTGGTGGAGGTCGAGGCCGCTGAAGTAGCCACTGGATTGGAAGGTGTTGTGCCTGAGTATCAGGATGCCACTGTGAATGCCGAACTGAACGAAGTCGAGCCGGAGCTCGGAGGAGGAGACGGTGGTGCTGGAAAGGAAGGAGGAGGTGGTGGAGGCGGAGGTGATCGAGGCAAGGGAGACGGTAAAGGAGACGGAGAGGGAGAAGGTGAAGACGAGAAGGTACCCGAGTCGAAGATGTCGATGTCGCAGAAGCTCACTCTGGCTTATGCTGTCCTCGTTGGCGGTAAGTTTTCTCTCGAAACATGCATTTGTTGACAAAGCTTCGTCTCTCGTACTGCAATTGAAAGAATGGTTCTTGATCAAGATCTGGTATGCATTCTTCTGAGGTTGCAAGTCACCGAGTGCTTTCTCCTTCGCCCATGTATCCTCTGTATCAGTGCCTGTTCAATGCAACTAGAGGACCATGGCGCCTCGGAGCGTAAAATCTTCACGGGGTTTTTGACTCACACCATACTTGTTGGATCCTCTTGAATCGCAGTGGGTGGTGTAATTGGATTTGCAAAGTCCGGCAGCGCGAAATCTCTTGCGACCGGAGGTGGCGCAGCTTTGGCGTTGTATTATGTTTATTCTCAATTGCCAATCAACCCTGTGTTCGCCTCGTCGTTTGGACTTGGTAAGTGCTCATTCCTTGATGAGCATGGGTCTTGCAACGTGGAATTTCCATATTGTCTTTACATTCACATGGGAAATCAAATGACTTGGTTCACTACTGTGCGAACTGGAATTTTCTTCAAGTGGAAGATCATACAGCTCCGATCGGAACATCATCTTTGCATCTGCAATGCTTTTAATAGTAATCTCGTTTGGTTCTGCGGTCGATGTTCTTGGACCGCAACACACAAGCTTAATTAAGCTTGTGTGTTGCGGTCAGATGCCTTCGTAGACTTGATGAAAATGTTTCACGGCCCTCGACACCATGAGTTTACTCGTGCTTCTCCTCTCTTTCTTCATTAGTCCACGACTCAACATAAAAAGCGGGGAGATGTTCGTTCTCACATCGTGGTCCGTTGGTTTCTCTCCAGGAATTTCGGCTGTTCTTCTAGGAATAATGGCTCCTCGCTACAAGAAGTCGGGGAAGTTCATGCCTGCAGGTCTTGTTGCTTTGTTTTCCCTGATCATGACAGGAGGCTACCTGCACGGTATTGCGAGATCTCATTAGAGCTGCAAATTGTTCGAATACCATGTTCTCAAGCTTGGCTTAAGAGAAATGACGAGGACTTTTTTTCGACCTTATTCGATCCCTGTGATGAAAGGTCTGTAATAGCTGAACGTCAAGAGCTCAAGCAGCAAATGTATGATCTGGAGCTGTTTATATCGTGTCAAAGAAGATCCTTGTTATTTTTTTATCTACGGGAGAGAGAGAATTAAATGCACCTCTTTGCATGCACATGACATAGCCTCGTTCTCTAATTGGGAATTCCATCGTATATATCGTCTGGTCATACATCTTTAGAATAATTTTAAAATGCATATCAGAGAAACTATCCAGCGTGGTACCGATGGGAAAATACGAGGCATTAAAACTTTCACCGTTTCAATTTCGACTGTACGCACCTGAAGAATATAAGAGGCAGCCAGGGTTACTCCGATCGTACTCCCTGAGGCAGTTGTAGCGAATTGCGCACTTATCAATTACAATCTGTCGCCTCCGTGCTTGGAAGTCTGAGATGAACAACATACTCAATTTCAAGCAGTCACCGGCACCAGCAGCCCTCTAGTGACCATTATGTAGCCATCCGCTTTTTATCACGGCAGGAGTGAGTCGCATTTTTTTGTATGTACGTGGAACGGCTTGTTGTGATGTTAATTGGCAGATATCTTGGATAGGTGATGTTGGGGATAGCAGTTTGCTTGTCCAATCGCGGATCTTTGATCAACTGAGTCGTTCTCGTTAGTGCGATTTCGTTGATCACTTAAGCCTAAAGCAAGGAAAATGGCTGCTCCACTATGTCATCCACGGCCACCTCCTCATGGCACATAGGGCAAGTCTTTTCAGCTGCGATGAGCCTGGTAAACTCAGTTAAGAGCGCCGGGAACTTACAAGCAGGACAACGAGTAGAGTTACCGGAGATTAGGTGTCGACCCGATGCAATGCAGAAAGGTAGGTAGTTCCTACAACTTGGACATTCCAGCTGTGTCTCCGGAATATCCAACGAGCAAAAGGGACATGGGGTCAAGGATTCATCTTCCTCGGTCTTCTCTGGCTTTCGCACTATAGATTCAATTCTCCTCTTATAAGCGCTCGTAATCTGAGTCCTATATTCAGGACGCATAAGCATAGTTGCGTACTCGAAAGCAGTCTTCTTCAAACCCGATCGATGGCACTCAATAACCGTGGAGATGAGGATAGGTACAACATGGGCAGGGAAGTTGGAAATGTGTCTTGCCACTCGTATGAGAAGTCTCGCACATGATCTGTGATCTCCGAGGCGAATGAGGGTCTTCACTAACGTGTACGAGTGGAGTAGCATCAACTGCTTGGATAGGTCATACGGAATGTATTTGTTCTCGCTCTTCATCACTTTGCAAAAGTCCAAGAGCTGTTGGTGAGCGTTTTTGTAATTTCCCATCTCTTGTTCGTTTTTAGCTATAAGAAGAGCGGCCTTGGTAGCTGCTTCGTGGTTTCCCAGCACCATATGGAGGCGGAACAGGTGTTGCTGAGTATTGTACGAGCCCTCCGTATCTCCTGCAAGAAACTCGAGGAGTTGATTTGTGAGTCCATCATCTTTCTGCCTTCCCACCATGTTAATGGCTTGCCCTATAGCCTCGGGTATACCCCAGGACAGGTACAGCTTCAAAGCATGCTTGGAGTCGCCACATCTTTCGAACATAGCTGTGGCTTTCTCAAAGTTTCCCATGGCTTCATAGTATTTCCCCAATTTTAGACACTCTTCTTTAGATGCAACTTCGGCAACCCTTTCGGTGTAAACATCCATCTTGCCCTGCTGTTGGGCTAGCTCGCTCGCTTCCTTTGTCCTCTTCTGTAGCACAAGGAACTCTATCGCATTCACATAATCTCCTTTGTTTTTACAGTATCTCGATGCCAAACTGGCAGCCTCCATAGATTTGGTCTTGCGCACGATGGAAAATGCTTCTGTCGGATTTTTCAGGGGACCCAGGTACAATTTAACAGCATTCTCATAATCTTCAGCCGCCACATAAGCTGCTGCAGCGTCTGCAAGTTTCCTCTCTGCTTCGAGAGCTCTGGCGAAGGCAACGTAAGTCTTGGGGCTATCGACACGTTTCAACAGAGACTGCGCCTTAGAAAAGTTCTTGATCTCGATGTACATAAGGATAGCCTTCTCTATTTGGCCATCCTGGACATAAAGCTCGGCGGCATCTTCTTGAAGGTTGAGACCTTCCAGTATTCTCGCACACTCACGGTATAATAAGGAGTCATGGCACTCAGAGGCCAAATGCTTTCCTTTCCAGATATCACCGAGGCGGATGCATGTCCTTGCAATACCAGACTGGGCAAAGGCCCGCAGTTCTGGGTCCTCTTTACTCGAGTTCAGAAAATCCTCGTAATAGGACAAGGCCTGTCGGTGATCTCCCAATTTCTCTAACATTTGAGCGTAGTGTTTCGAAATTTCAAACTCCAGTGGAGATTTCAACTCTTTGGCCAGAGTCATTGCTTGATCCCAATGCTCGAGGTCTCGTCTCATCTCCACCGCCGCTTCTGGCCGAGTAGACTTTAAGAAGGAATCCTGTGCGGCATCGAACTCTTGAAGGATCGAGAGAATGTGGCCTCGAAGCAGAAGAAGCTCCTCAACGTTGTCCAATTGCCGCAAACTCGTCAGAAGCTGGATATTCCCAGACTGCTGGCATGCTTTGATCGCAACCTCCATGTTCATATGTTCCAGCGCTTTACTCGTCAACATCTCCCACGCTTCCGCATTCTTCAAAATCACCGCATCGGCGAACGCTTCTTCCAGGTGGAGAAGGGCCAGATGTTCCTCGAACCTCTGCCTCACTTGTTTTGGGTTGTGGACGATCTTCTTGCACCATGTATGAGTGGGCAGTATGACGCTTTCTTGGCCATCCTCCCCGTGGCAACTCAGAGAACCCTTGCGCAGAGCGACCGGACGAAGATCGGACGGCAGCACCGCTGCTTGCAAGAGAGTCACTCGAGGGCAGTGGATGTCGATGGGAGCATAGATGTACACGAAGACTTGGCCCACCTTCCATAACACGAAAACAAGAGCGTCACTGGCATCCCACAATGCAAGATCGATTTTTCCAGGCTCGTACACGGGCACGAGAACCGCCTGGTCATTGAACGGGTTGTGCAGGTAGATAGAACTGCGGTCATCCTCGAAGAGCAAACGCGTGCCGTCGGAATGGGCCCAGAGTCTGGTTATTCCGCCATCGCAGTGGCAGTATTCGTACGCCAAGCACGCTCCCGTCTCATCCAAGAAGTAGTAGACAAGAGTGCCGCGTTCGGTGCCGAAGACCAAAATCTCCGGTGTCAGGTCCACGCACGTAATGTCGGTGTAGCCTCCCTTTTCGGGGATTTTCTTCGCAGGGTATTCCGGATACGCCAGCTTCTGCAGCTCCAACGAGCCGTGCACCAAAACGACTTGAAAATTCTCATTTCTCTTCTTCTTGCTTGCCTCTCCCCTCTCCTCGTCCGCCATCCCTGAGCGCTGGCATGAAATCTAACGACAGACAGACAGAAAGCAAGAAAGTCGCTCCTGTCCCAACTGCCACCAACGTCTTCTCACTAGGCGCCAATCAATTCGCCATCACCGTCCAGAGCCGGCAAGAAACACCATCGCAGCATTGCATTCTGTCCAACGTCTGTCTACCGAAGCATCTCTCTCTTCGATCCTCTTACGAGACGAGGATCTGGACTCACGGACCGCATCGTTCAGAACTAGCGACGTGGTCCAGCCGTTTAACAGATCGAAAGTGGACGTAGTTCGGGCTATGGTCGGTTCGCTTATCGGTTCATTTCGTGAGCTCATTCTAGATTTCGAATCTAAACTCATCCTCGCCGGCGGTCAAAAATGAAATAGCCTCAAGAGACTATTTTATTTATTTTATGATATGTTCGGGATATCGAGGAATGCCGAGCAAGGGCATGCTTTGTCCCAGTGCTTAGAAGCTATACTACGGTATGGTATACTGCCTCTTTATTCAAAGAGCTCGAGTTCGACTTTCCCCCGAGGCCTGTGTGCAGGATTTGACCTGACCGCAAACCAGAGCTGTGATGCATCGAGCCAGAGAGGGCACAGCGAGCACATGGCTAGCAGGGGAGTTGTACTTCTGGTTAGTCTTGCCATGAACATAAATACCAAGTCTATTAGCAAACTTCCCTTCTATTCTTTTCTCGTCGGTATTATATCTTACATGTGATTAGGGTCGCACAATAGTATCCAAAAGCTGTTTATAAACATCGTCGTAATTTTAGTACATCCACACTGTTGTGTAGTTTTCATAGCTGTCAAAAGAGAAGTATGACAAAGGATAACTAAGTCCGATACGTCTTTGCTTCGTGCTGCCGTAAAGTAGTGCTTACTTCTTCATGGCGCCATCCGTATCACATCCCCACTTTCCATACATTTCGAATCATCTAGATAATAGATGTTAAAACTGACACTTCGAGCCTTTTGTTCTGTTTTTAATAATTGAAGGTTACAATCAACTCTTGACATGAATTGATGAGGTGGACATGATTCTCACTCAAATTCAAGCAAAAATTTATTTCTTCATCTAGAAGATGAGTGATTCTCGGAGGCAGTATACTTTTTTTTACGTACGTACCGAATTTTATTTATCATTGTGGACACTGAAGTACATTCATGAGGTATCATGTTGTGAAATTATAACAAGAAGTGTTATAACTATACAATTTAAAAGGTAGATGTCACAACAATATCTATACTGCAAGTTCAAAGATTTTATGAGCTTGATGATAAGTTGGAAAGTATACTTTTAATGCTTTTATATTTATAGAGATAGTCTAGCTTCGAATACTGCTTTTAGAAATATTTCAAATGATGTAATAGTCAAACATGGTTGGACTGAAAAAATCAAAATCAAAAGATGGAGTTGTCATTGTTACCTTATCATATATATATATATATATATATATATATGGAGAGAGAACACAGTGGCACTAGAGAAAGATGGATAGATTATATCTCAAACGATGCGTATATAATTTACATATTGGAGATCAATGATAGTTTCTTACTGGCAGATTCTGATGTAAAATGACAAATGTAATTTTGTATTTTATAAAAATTATACTTGAAAAAATCAATAATGTCACAAAAAATACCTCACAAATTGGGTTAGACGGCAAACAAATACCTCATGCAAATGAAGATGTCAGAAGAATAATTTTCGCGTTCGTTCCAAATTATGGAATTACTTGAAATAACCAAGTTAGAATAAATTAGTTCTTCCGAACGGTGGAGCAAAATAGAAGCCGTCCGATGGAATTGTCCCTGGACTCGGGAAAGTTAACATTAAATAATGTCACAAAAATGCCTCACATATTGAGTTAGATGACAAACATATATGTTATGTAAATCAACTTGTCAGACGAATAATTTTCGCATACGTTTCCGATAATGGAATTACTTGAAATCAAATTAGACTAAATTATTTCTTCAGAATGGTGGAGCAATATAAAAGCGTCCGATGGAATTGTCCCCTGAAATCGGTGAGTGACGGATTCCCGGGAAGAATTTTCGGGCCATAAGCATTCGCTGCGTGCATGACAGTCAGCGTGCTTAAACCCTGCAAGGCACCAGACGGTTCGAGACGCAGAAGCCCCGTGACAATTCGTTCGTTCGATTCCTCCTCGGCTACGAGAAGGGAGGGCGAGATGAGCTCTGCTCGTGCGTTTAATGCAGGGCCGGAACCGGAATTTGGAGGGATGATAGGTTTGCCCACTGGAGCTAGACCACTGCTTCCACAATCCAAATCTCTGCGCGTGTTTGCAAAACCCCTGTCAACTGAATCGGTGTGGTGAAGCAGACATTGCGATTTTCTGTCTCGCAAGTTGGATCTTCTTGTCGTGTTGGCCCCGCTTCCATTGCTTCACATGTGCACCGTCGTGCGGAGAGCTCACATCTTGCTTCTGGACGAATGACTTGCACTTTCATGACCATCCAGCGATTTTGCGGAAGGGTAGTCTCAGCTTGGAGCAACTCGGGCCGTCGGTATTCTGACTGTCTGTGAAGTCTGTGGATTGCTGGTCGTCAAGATGAAGTTCAAAATCGAAGGTTTGACGGTTTACTTTCCCTATGAATTCATCTACCCGGAGCAGTATCAATACATGGTGGAGCTGAAGAGAGCGCTCGATGCGAAGGGACATTGTCTGTTGGAAATGCCTACCGGAACGGGAAAAACGATCACTTTGCTGTCTCTTATCACCAGCTACCAGTTGGCTAATCCTGTCGGAAAGCTTGTGTACTGCACTCGAACTGTGCACGAAATGGAAAAGGTTCTTGACGAGTTGCGGAGACTACACGCTTATCAGGAGAAGGAAATTGGAAAGGAGGCTGCGAAAATTTTGGCTCTAGGTTTGAGTTCTCGAAAGAACATGTGTGTACACCCGGAGATAAGTGGCGAAGGGTCAAGAGAGAGCGTCGATGCCGGGTGTAGAAAATTGACTGCATCGTGGGTGAGGATTGCCGCTGTCGACAATCCTAATATAAAGACATGCGATTTCTTTGAAAATTATGAGAAGAAGGGTGCAGATGCGCTTTTACCTCCTGGAGTCTATACTTTACACGACATGAGAAGTTTTGGAAGAGAGAAAGGATGGTGCCCTTATTTCCTAGCTCGACACATGATCCAGTTTGCCAATGTGGTTGTTTACAACTATCAGTACTTACTGGACCCCAAAGTTTCAGGAATAATTTCAAGGGAAATGGAGAAGGAGTGCATTGTGGTTTTTGATGAGGCCCACAATATCGACAATGTTTGCATTGAAGCTCTCAGTGTGAATATACGACAGCAAACTCTTGAGGGCGCTACGAGAAACTTGGGCAAGATTTCGCAGGTCATCGAAAAGTGCGTAAGCTGACGAGTGCTGTCGTCTCTTACAAAGAGTGGACGTTTCCGACCTTTCTACAGTCGTTTGTGCTTTTGAAGAGTTGAAAACTTAAAATTTAATCAAATCGAAAATCTCATCTTCTCTCTGTATGTAATCTCCTGAAGGTTTAAAGCTACTGATGCGAATCGTTTGCGGGAAGAGTACAACAGGCTTGTAGAAGGTTTAGCTCAACGAGGAAACTTACCAGGTAACTTTGCCCAGTGAATGCATTCATAGCTTAATAGGTATCAGGTTTCATATGATTTTTTTACTTGAGCTGGTGAAGAAATAGTAAATACAGTATGTTACAATTTCGGATCCCTGTTATACGACTGCTCAAATAATCTTGACGGTGGTCTCATGATCTCTCTGCAGCATAAGCAGATGGCTACTCTTTTGAAGCTATGCGACGACAAGACTTGCTTTTTGACAAATTGCACTGTTTTGCAGTGGCTGATAATTGGCTAGCAAATCCTGTCTTGCCTGATGATATTTTGAGAGAAGCCGTTCCTGGAAACATCAGGCGCGCAGAGCACTTCGTTGCATTCTTGAAACGGCTTGTACAGTACATTAAAGGTCGGCTTTTGACCGAAGTTGTGGAAAGCGAAGGGCCTTTGTCGTTTTTGAACTCTTTAAACAAGGAGTGTAGTATCGATCAAAAGGCTTTGAAGTTTTGCTACGATCGCCTGCAGTCGCTGCTGACTACTCTGGAAATTACGGACACGGATGAATTTCTGTACATACAATCTATCTGTGATTTTGCAACTCTCGTGGGGACCTATCAACGAGGATTTGCAATCATAATTGAACCATACGACGATCGTATGCCAAATATTCCTGATCCTGTTCTACAGGTATTTAAATAAATCGTCAACTCTGCCTGGAGTTTTTTTCTGCACTTGACGAATAACAAGAGGAAAGAACGAGACGATCCGAAGTGTCTCTCACTTTTAGCCAGTTCGCTTTGTGTTCGACTTTGTAACCAAGGTTTAGCTGCAATCGTCGTCCTTTATTTATGTACCTAGAAAACAGAATTCGTATACTTTTTTTCTTCTACTTCTTACTTGTGCTGGAGTGTGTTATGACCTTTCGGGTACTTGTCATGGCTGCAGTTGAGCTGTTTGGATGCATCCCTTGCAATAAGGCCCGTCTTCGAACGATTTCAGTCTGTTGTGATCACGTCTGGAACTTTAAGTCCCATCGACTTATATCCAAGGCTTCTAAATTTCAACCCAGTCATCTTCAAGAGCTTCACAATGACATTGACGAGAGATTGTCTTTGTCCGATGATCCTGACGAGAGGGAGGTATGTTTGATTAGCCTAAGTGTGGAATAATCTACCGTCATGCAATGCAAAGAATTAATTTTGAATTGTTTATGGATCTAATGAAGAAGTTGACAACTTTATTGAACCATATGACGATACATGCATTACCTAATTTACATAATTGGTTTTTTCATTGTTCAGCGACCAACTTCCCGTAAGCACAAAGTTTGACATGCGAAGTGATCCTGGTGTTGTTCGGAATTACGGACGACTTCTTCTTGAGATGGTGGCTGCCGTACCGGATGGCGTGGTTTGCTTTTTTGTCAGTTATTCCTACATGGATGGGATTATCAACAGCTGGAACGAAATGGGCATTTTGCAGGTGAGAGCTTGAATCTAAAAAGTGCGTCTCATCTGTCGACGAACCAGTAGCTTTTATTCACATATCATCTCTCCAGATCCTTCAAATTTTCGGCGTTTCTTGCGTTCATGTATAATCTCTTGTTCATGACGGGTAAATTGTGCCGGCACTGAGTTCTCATTACGTCTATGGTGTTCGTTGATTTCCGGATGTGCATTGATCAGGAAGTTATGCAGCACAAGCTTGTCTTTATAGAGACACAGGATGTTGTGGAGACCACTTTGGCGCTTGATAACTATCGAAGAGCATGTGATTGTGGTCGTGGAGCTGTCTTCTTCTCAGTTGCAAGGTAAGAATTTCCACTAGACCACAATGACATAATATGGTGAGTCAATTTTAGTAGATGGCCCCTTTTTTGTTGCGACTGTTCAGGACCAGTTTTAGAATGACACACAAGTCAGTAGCAGTTCAGGCAGTAGGACTTGTGTGTCTTAAGTTGTGCGCTGAAGACGTGGAGTAACTCTTTGCCCATGCTAAGCTCTCTTCCAATTCTTTGCAGGGGCAAGGTTGCAGAGGGTATTGATTTTGACAGACACTATGGTAGACTCGTCATTATGTACGGAATCCCCTTCCAGTACACTCTTAGCAGGTCAGCAGTTCATCATCCTGATTCATGCTTGTCAAACTCCAGCAAGGCAATTAGCTTCAGCTCTTTGGTTACAAGTTCCTGTCGGCATTCATTGAAATCAGACGCTTGTTTCAGAATTCTTCGAGCTCGCCTGGAGTACTTGAGAGAAACCTTTCAGATCAAAGAGGGGGATTTTCTGACTTTTGATGCCGTGGTAAGCCGTGATCTTCGTAGCATGTTTGTTCGTCGGGTGCGGTGCTTATGAAATTTCTGTTCATGGCTAACTCGTCAACTCATATTGTACCACCTTCATTGCGGATTAGCACATCTTCTGTAGCGGTCTTATTTATTGCTGGGGTTTCATTCCGTTGGTTTTTAATAAATTATCATGACGCTTGATCTTTGCCTGAGATCTCGCTGTAAGCAGGTATCATAGCAACAAAGTGTTCCGTCACTTTCGGTCTGACGCATTTAGTTTTATGTCTTTATCATCCTGTCTAAGCAATCAGAAGCGGTTTTTTGTAGAGGCAAGCTGCTCAATGTGTTGGACGCGTCATTCGATCGAAGGCAGACTATGGGATGATGATTTTCGCAGACAAACGGTAAGGATGTGAAATGTGATTCTTCCTACTCCAAGAAGCAACGATTTTTTCAACCTCGTTTCATACACTGGTATTTACATACCAGTGTATGGGCATCCATAGAGTGACTTCGGGTAGACCTTTCATCTGATTCTCTTCTTCTTTTTTTAATACTGATCTGATGTTCAACGTGTTGTGAAGTTACAATCGGCATGATAAGCGATCGAAGCTGCCCGGATGGATTCAGACTCATCTGCGTGATGCCCACTTAAATTTAAGTACGGACATGTCTCTCCACATCGCAAGAGAGGTTCTTACTCTACACATTGTCCTATTTGTCTACATTGGATTTTCACACCTTGTTTTGCAACAGGAGTATTATCTTTAGGGCTACCGAAACGATTTTCGACCTAAACCACCTCCGTCGTAAATAAATATTTGGCTGTTTTACTAAGGAACTATGCAATGTACTCAACCGGGAATGTGACGACTCTTGCAGGCACATGTCATTGACCCTTATGTATCGTTTGATCGTTATGTCCAGTTCTTGAGAAAAATGGCACAGCCTTATGATAAGAAAGGGCAAGGCACAAATGCAACTTTGTTGTCACAGGCTGACCTTGAGAAAATGGAGCAGATGGAAAACATGCAAGCATGACCTTCTCCCATGTCCAGAATTTTGGTGGAATTTTGGAGGTTGGGAACATATCCGCTGTCACATGTTTCTCTTTTGTTTGTTGATCGTTGTGCCTCTTACCATCTTTTCATAACTGATGGTTCTCCCCTATACTTAATTATGCCAGTCGGGATCGTTTCTAACTGTCTCTAGAATCATGAGATGAGAGTGGACCCGTAGTGTTTTGAGTTTTCAAGTAACTGCCATCTCACCTGTGTCCCTATGTGTATGCCACGTCTAATCAGATTTGAGATCTCCACCAGGCTGTTCATCAATGTTGTACATATGAGGCGCTGAGAGATACCAGAGTGGCGAGCATAGAGGATCTGAAGACGTTATCGAATTTTTGCTGCGAACTTCGTTGGAATGTCTCACGAAGTCAGCTTCCAATAATTGTAATGTGAGCTGGGTTGGAGATATACTCGGAACACGTAGATTGTTAACATTTTTTGATACAGAAACCTAGCGGAACACAGATGTACACAAGTCTGAGGGCTTCCTAAGGATTGTAGTGTGGACGCTTTCCCTCTCATAATATGTAAAGGAACAGTTTGAGATGAGGGGGACTTCTTGGAGCTGACTTTTGCTTATTTCAAAGGCCACGCAGTGGTCCCATATCTTCAGTTATGGCTCACCACAAACACGTGGGTTGGAAATAGGTCGAAAGGAGGAGATAGATTCGGCGGGTATGAGGGGACCGAGAGTCGAAGCGTGTGTTGTGGACGAATAGGTTGTGCATATTTAACTTTTTCCTACGAATTCCAGTCTCTGGGCAGTGACGCTTTTAATCTCCGTGCCTTTAGGCCGTAGTTAGCAGTCACGTGTTATCTCAAGTTCAGAAATTTGACAATTCTTGCACATTATAGTTTGATTTAGTTATGTAAATAGATTTCAATATATAGAAGTCATTCCTCCGTACAGGAGGAATGACTACTTGTGTGGTTAAAAACCGCGAGTGTCTACGAGTAGGATAATTGTAAACTTTAACGAAAATGAGTCACGTATTTCAACTTCAATCCCGTGACATATCAGCGGAAGTGTTTTGTACAGCTTGGGGTTTGGTCAACTATTCATCTCGCATTACAACAAGAGTAGTCAGAACCCAAAACTTTAATAGACTTTCCCGGAAATGTGTGCTCAAATGTCTGTTGCGTAATAAAATTTTGGCAATCCTAAGCATTCATAAGAGCAGTATCTTAAACTACAGGTGATTATCTTGCGAATCATACATTCTCTGTATACGCATAGAGTTTCGTCACTTCGTGAATTTAGTCCTTGAAATCAAATTCTTAGAGAAATTCTTCTTCGTGTTAGATCCCACAGGCCACCATGTGTTGAGTGAAGCTATGACTTGACCAAGAAAGTACGTTCAAGAAAGAATGAAACCAAGTGAAATAATTTACAGAATGCTAAAGATCGTTTGTAAGATGTACCATTAAGGAACCTTCTCGGGGAGATGCAAGTTACAAGTCGTGAACCTTCTCGGGGAGACAGACGGGTCGTTTCAAAAAGTGAAGGTCTCATTTTGTATTGCAGACTAAGTACAAATATGTCTTCACAAGTAAGTAAAATTCACTGCAAAACTCACTCGCTAGAACTAATCGTTTTGTTCCTCACTTCCCGCTTCAGATCTGCCGCCTTTGTCTGCTACACTGCTCTAAGGAACGAAGCCGACCACACAGCGTACAGCATTCTGTCCCCAAATAGGTAGATTTCATCTGATTAGTCTTCTAGCCTTATGCTCGATGTGAAACACTTTGGTGTCGAGAATCGATAGCCCGATAATCATCGCCCAGTTCGACCGCGTAGACAATGTACGTTACGTCAGAATTACTACGAAAATACCATCACATAACAAGCAGCAACGTGCCCTGGAGCTAAATCGTAATCGGTAATGAGCACAACTAATTTTTCATTCCCACATCAGTCAGGAAAAAATGGTAGGCTCCTCTACAGCTGTTTATTGTGGCCAATGATTCCATTACACTCAGCGTTGCACTTCGAATGCTATCTGTGACAAGATTGCATGTGAGGTTATCGAGCCATACTTACACAATTATACGGTACCCGTTTGGCACATCCAGCAGCCAGTAACACCTGTGTCCCGTCTCAACTCAACTTCCGAGTGACAACTCTGGCCTCCACATGTCATCTTCTGCAAACTAATTTTTGGTCCTGAGATGCCACCACGCCGCTGGCAGGGTGCAGGGTGAGAGATGCATAGTACTCGTCATCTCCACTGCAAAGATATATACAACCAGCTCACTCTGTTTCCTTGAGAGCCAGATATCCAGAGAAAACTGAATAAGCGGTAGTTTTCCTAATCACTCCTTCTCTGTCGACATCACTTCCATTCATGTCATTTATACATTTGGCCAGAGGCAGAACACTAGTAGGCCGGAATTTTGGAAAAAGAAAAACCCTTGTATCCTCTCCATGCGTAGTAGGCGATCCTTGTCTCGTAAAATCCTGCAACATAGGTTCGAGTGTTGGTAACAATATGAACTCGAGTGTTGGTAACATAACTGGTTTAAGCAATTGCACTCAATAGATACGTGCTTCTTGCCTCCCTCTGCGATGTTCGTGTGATTCATGAAGCAGATTTCTCCCGTTCGCTTAGAAATGAAGTCACTAACGTATTGGATGTTATGTAAAAAGGGTAAAGTTGACGTCTTGAGAGAGCCAGGTGAAGCGAGAGGAACCTGAACGCCGTACCTGGTAAGAACAAAAGAATTCCCAAGACGAGGAAGCCGTAAGCCTGACCAGAGTCACCGCCCATGTGCTGGGTGAAAATGAAATGAGACACTACGAGGAACAGACTTCCGAAGGCAAGCAGGAAAATTGCCAGAGCTATGGACTTCCAGGGAATATCTTCGTGCAGCTCAAAGCGGTATCTGAGATCTTCTTGCCCATAGGCCCGACGGGGTAAATCTCTGTCACGAAAGTCGTCTTGGGTGGATAGAGCAGAATATCGTACATGTGGTCTCTCTCCCATCTCTACGGCCCTCTTGTCGAGTACAACCTCTGTATCTGCAGAAATCCGTGTCCAAATTTAAGGTCCACAAATTCCACTCTTCCTTCTTGGCAATAAACATCTCCCCAACTTTACTTCATTCCATTCATGAGACCGAGAATGAGTGTAATGAAGTCCTCTTGACAGCAACAAAACTCGTGCCCGGTCGAAAAATGTAATCCAAACTCATGCTTGACTACCACTATACTATACACATTCTCTGATCTTGCCAGACCTCTAAGCCGCTCTCACAAATTTCCACATTTATTGACAGTAAGGAAAATCCCCAAGAAATCCTAGCACGATGCAATGACACAGTCCGAAGACAGCCTACAATCCTGCCCTTCAAATGTTTGTTGAAGTGATTGATTGCTATTCAAAGCCGAACCCTGTCACAAAATCCCTGCAATGTGGACACTTTTCATATACGGCTTTACCCCATGATTTGCAAAGCCCTCCCTACGCAACATAAATGTGGGATACACGAAAGATGGTGGTCCTGGCGAGAACCGCCTCACTACAGTGTGCAACAGAATTAACCAGATTCGAAACCGATTCAAAAAACACCAAGAGACAAGAAAAAGAGAACCGACATCGCTTACCTCCGAATCTGCAAGCCGAAAAGAGAAACCGTCGCAACAGAGCATCCGAGCAGCACGATCCAAACGCTGTCGAAGCGAACGATCCGAAGCCCCGATGAAGTCGTACAGAACTGATCCTACCAACTAGAGCCTCGCCGTAAACACGAGGTGGCGGCCAACACCAAGAGAGATCAGCAAGCCGATCAGAATAATCGTTTTATATTTTGCGGTAGAGCTCCGCAAACAGGGACATCGATGTGCTAGAACAGAGTCTGACACAGAGCCAAATGAGTGGCAGAAAGTACTGGCGCTACGCTACGCGAGTCCGAACGCACTCACTCTAGGGCAACCAGCGTAGGAAGAACTATGGAGAATATTCTCATTCTTCCTTGGGTTAGTTCTGGTAGGACCGGGCCCTTAAGGACCCAGGTACGTGACAAAGTGGCAGGCCTAGGGAGTCCGAAAGCGAGACCGAAAGCTGCGATCGTTGAAATGCGCATGACCCCGCTCTGTGTCGCATGAGAAGGCGTTGGTAGAGCGCTGAAGCATCGAGGTCCGAGAGGAGAGGAGAGGAGAGGAGAGGCTCGATTAATGGGATTGTGCTCTTGGGCAGGGTTTATCGATTGAGAGAGCGTTTGTTTGGTTTGTTTTCGAATTTTTTCTTGAGTGTTAGCGTGCTTGCGGCTTTTGGCGATGGAGGAGGTGAATCCGAGCTCGTGTGATACTCCTGCAGTTGCGGAGCTGGAATCGATTCCGCCCCCAGCTCCGAAACTGAGGCAGAGGAAGTCTGGACGCGTGACATTCTCGGAAGAGAACTTGGCCATGCTCAGAGCAGACTCGATCAAGGACAAGGCAATGAAGGCTAAACAGGAGGAGGGATTAAGCTGGGGAGTTGCATTCTTCGCTTTGGCACTTGCAAGATACTTCAGCTCAAAATCGAACATCGTTCATGACTGTGACGAAGTCTTCAATTATTGGGAGCCCTTGCATTTTCTTGTGTATAAGTCAGGCTTCCAGACATGGGAATACAGGTGAGTAGTTGTAGTGAAATTCCACTCCGTTGGTTTTAAGCTGCTCTGAATAACTCATATATGTATTAGATCCAATGTCGGAAATTTTTGCCAATCAAAATTTTTTTGACCTTTACTTGATAGAGATGTATCTAGTTATTAACTAGATACATCAGAAGTAGCAGTTGGTCTCTGAACAGTTTGTGTTTCGATAAATTCACAGAGAGCTGTAGTTTGTTTCAAAAGAATCATCAAATTGTTTTTGGATGTTTAGTGGAAAACAAAAAAAATATTTCGATATAGAACCGATCACTATGCATTGATTCATTGTCACCATCGACCTTAGCCTCTTTAGATCAATATTTGATTGCAAAGGATCAATAGCCACTTCTCTCGATGATTGAATAAGCGACGTGTTAAATTATACATAAGCAGTATTGAACATACTTGTGGTGAATAAGGCCTTTCAAGCTCATTGACGATTGAAAAATATCGTGCAGCTTGCCAAACAGATGAATGAGCTGAATCATCAGATATTTTCTTCCAAATGAACCGCTTTGTGTAGTTACTGTCCAGTATGTTGAAGATCTGATGGCTTTTGACATTTCGAGACATAATCTAGACACGATTTCACGTTAGGAATGTATATTGAGTATAAGTCGATTATCCCAATGTCCCTGATAGTCTTTGAATTCCTGTAACGTATTTTTATGGATTATGAAACTCATTAGACACGTGGAAATTATCTTATATTGCCAACTTGGTGGAATGTCAGTTCGGAGTTTGCGTTGCGTTCCTATCTGTACTTGCTGTTTCATGCACTTTTCGTGAAGCCGGCAAGCTGGCTGTATGACAGCCAAGTCGGGAAGGTGTGCATCCTTCGCATCTCCAAATTTCTCAAAGTATCTCTAATCTTCTGGAAGTATCTGAGATCTATCAATATTAACATCTTCTTTCCATAGCCATTAAACTTCGTCATACTCTTCATGTGTTCATTTGTGCTATTGCAGGTACAAGCGTTCTACTTTTTACGGTTCATTCTGGGATTGATGTCGGCAAGCACTGAGGCATCACTTGTTGCTGCCACATCCAGCTTGTTTGGGAGAAGACTGGCGGCTTACACCCTCATGCTTCTTTGTTTCACAAGTGGCTGTTTTACTGCAAGCACCAGTATGTTTGCTGCTCCATGTTCTCCTTGCTAGGTCAGTATTGGGAAAGGGGCCCCCAACTTGAAATACTGATTTCAGTAAGTTGGTGAGGTAAATAGATGCAGATGCGAATCCAAGTATTGTATATGTTAGATGCTTTGTTTTACGTTGAGAGATGAACGCTTTTCACCACAAAATCACACAGAGTGTTCTGCTCTTCCTCTGCGAGCTTCATTCGGCAAGCAAAAGGGTCAATCAATTTTGGAATTTAAGAAAGCAAAAGAATACTGAAAACCCCCTTGGTTCCAGGAGAATGTATATTGTCTTAACTGGTCAGGAAATAGGTTCCTGTTTAAGGGTTCATGATCGATTTACATACGATACATTTTGTTACTTGCCATCTTGGAAGAATTTTTCTGTAGGCTATTGCAAGTTATATGGAACATAACCAGTGGTTTCGTATTTTACTCTCAGGTTTCTTGCCAAGTACATTCTCAATGTACACCTTGACTCTTTCATCAGCCGCATTGCTCTACAGGAAGCCTGGCACAGCGGTGGCGGTGGGAGCGTTTGGTGTTCTGGTGGGCTGGCCTTTTTCCGTGCTGGCTTTTGTGCCAGTAGTCCTATATGCTCTGGCAACTGGAGGCTTCTTGAAGGTTTTTATGGCAGGATTGAGTACGTCTGTCTTCACTGTGGTCAGTCTCGAGAACTTATATCTTAGCACTTATGACATGTACAAAGTAGGCAATTTTGGCTTAAATTATGATAGGATTGTGTGAATATGGATGCACATGGAAATGATTTACTAGCCTTGCAGCTACCCATAAATCTTTGTCTATTTATTGCAAAAGTGGATCATGATTGCAAATCTATCTTCAGTGAGGGGTGGGGGCGGATGATGGTGGATTGTTACTATTTAATGATTTTCATAATAGATCCTATATCAGAAAAGTTTTTAACCTTTGTCATTCTTACAACCCCCTTCAGGTCTAGAGATGAAATTGGAACCACTGACTGCAGTATTTGTCTGATCAAATAAACGCAGGTCATTTCAGCCGTGGTGGACAGACAGTTTTATGGAAAGTGGACATCTTCTGTCCTCAATCTCGTCATATATAACGTGTTAGGCGGTGGAGACAGTTCTCTTTACGGAGTTGAAGGCCCTCTTTTCTATCTTCGGAACGCATTTAACAACTTCAACATTGCTCTGATCTTAGCTCTTGTATTTCTGGTGCTAGCAGTCATCAAAAGCGACAAGTATGGCCCCCTGCTGATTGTAGTGTCACCTGTATACTTGTGGCTGAGCTTCATGTCATTACAACCTCACAAGGAGGAGAGGTAAACCACTTATGCTTCGACCACGGCTTGGATGCATCATGTCTTGTTGCAACTATTATAGATTTAGCCAGACAACACATATTTACCATGGCGGTCTCATGGCGGTCTTCAATCAAATTCGTGCGTAATATCTATTTTCTCAACATCTCAACCTCAAGAAGAAAACATGTTCGCTTTGAGAACATTTGATCGACTTCGTGGTAGTTGCATGCATAGAGGAAGATAAGATATGAGTAAATGGAGACGCAAGTCATTGAGAAACTGAAGGATTTAAACAACTCTGAAACGGTAATAGAACGTCAGACTATTTTGTGTAAGTTTCTTGTGAATGTAAATTTGGAATACCACATTTAGATGTGTACACGAAGACAGAACAGTTCTGGAACTGATTTGTGCTCGATGCACGTACATTTTTTGACATCATTGTATGCTGCATTTCTTCAAGTTTGAGGGTTCACCAATAGTGGAAGTGCCAGGGCTGGTCATGCAGCTATTGGTATATATTATCCCGTGTGTATGATTGGAATGTCTTTGATAAAGCTTCCTTGCCAAGCACATTTACGGTCTGCTGAAGTGAGATATTTTTCTTCCTTATCCAAACTATTTTTTCAATCTCTGACGACTTTTAAATAGGCGAAGGGTACATCATACAATCAAGAGTCGGTGTCATGTGGTATCACAGGACCAGAGTCCTGCAATGGGTACCCATACCCATGGGTAAATGGATGGGTAATGGGTATGGGCTAGGATGCACGGGTGGGTAATGGGTGGTTACAAGGAATGGGTGGGTAATGGATGGGTATGACTTAGACTGAGCTCTCGTATTAAGTGTAATTAAGAGCTCACGGATTAAGTGTAACCAAATACTAGTGTTGGACTCATGGGTATGAGTTGGGTATGGACTCATGGGTAATGGTATGCCATGGGTGGGTAATGGGTGGGTACAGTTGACCCACTCATGGGTATGGGTTGGGTATGGGTAAAGTTTTGAAGCTCAATGCAGGACTCTGCACAGGACTCATCATATGAATTGTTTATTTGCAGGTTTTTATACCCTATCTACCCTCTTATATGCCTTGCAGCCGCAGCTTTAATTGAAACAATCCCAGAGTTGTTGCCGAAACCACGATACTATCCTCCCAACGAGGAACCCCCTATCGTGCTGGTAAGCTTGCATTTTGTTATCGAAATGTGTTCCGGAAGAATGATTCAATTTTAGTTGACAGAAACTTACGGAAGATGTTGTGTGTGCAGGTTGGAAAGGTTCTGCGACCTGTAACACTAGCTGTTATTCTAGTGCTTTCATATAGTAGGACAACATCTTTGCTCTATGGCTACTCAGCCCCAATGCAGGTCTACCGTCAACTTCCCACCATGGAACAGCCAAAAGTTGGAAACCAAGGTTATTTCTTTGTTCCAGTAGTCCTGGTTATCATGAACTAGAATTATGTCAGGACAATATTGAAGATTGTACTGCCTGTGGCCTTTTTGTAGTGATTCATCCTTGCTATGCATTATGAAATTTCAAGTAAGTTCGGCTAAACTCCACGTAGTAAATGCAAACGTCAAGTCAGTGGAAAGGAGTAATTTCCAAGTCAATATGTACTCTTTACGGCTGATTATAGCCGTTGACCAGCTAAGTAAGTCAATAATTCCATGTGTAAATCGCACGCCAGTCTGACAGAATTCAAGAGGAACACAACGAAGGTTACGTCTGGCAATTCGTAGGATAGAGGGTTACTGACTTATTGATACTGTAGACTTTTGACTGTTGACAACAATTGTAATGTTATAAATTATTGTTTAGAAACCTGACTTGTGATATCTTTTCTTCTAACATTAAAGTCATGTCAGTGCAGCAGTTTCATTGGTGTGCGTAGGAGCTGAATGGCACCGCTTTCCATCATCATTTTTTCTACCATCTGCAAGTTATGAGCTCGGCTGGTTGGATGATGGTTTTAGAGGCCTTCTTCCGCTCCCTTTCAATAGTACCATGGGTGGAACAGCTTCAGCGCCGACTTACTTCAACAAACTGAACAAAGCCTCTCCTCTCCAGTTCGTGAGTTTTCTCTTCCTTCTTCACCTGATGCTGATTTCATAGTTAATTATAAATTCAACCTGTGGCCGATGGACTGGTGATTGAGTGCATCACAGATCACATGGATTCAACACGGTCACAGTACCACATAAGGGAAGGGGGAAGGGGAGGGGTTGGAGTTCTATCACACTTCCAAAACATTTTTGATTGACAAAGGAAGTTTTGAAGAAAAGAATTTCGTTGGGTATATTTGTAGGGGGTTGATAACCAGCTGATTGATCAGGCAAAGAAATTAGTATTTAGCATAGCATGAGTCGAGGCCTTTAATGCGTCTGTGGTGGAGTGGAACCTGCAGTGGAACGTGAACTGGCTTCTGTGTGTAATCTACTGAATACAATCGTTTGCTGTCAAGTCTACTCTGAGAGCAATTATTTTGAGGTCCCTCCTCTAGAAGTGTACATTTACATAATACGTCGTACCTGTCCTGGGTTACGAATCTACTTTGTTCAAGTATACATTTTGACGGCCTGGACTCGTGGACCACATTAACTATAGCTTTCCGTGCAACTAAAAATGGTAACATATGGTTTTGTCTGAGTCTATGAGTGTGGACATAATTTAGTTGTAGTAATGAAATGAACTTTTGCATGGAGTTGCAGGTGAAGAATGAAGAAGCTTGCAGCTTTCTGGTAGAGCTGCGGTTAGAAAGACCTGACAGAAAATACCGTGGAGATGATTCCAGCAAGTGGGAGGTAAGACTGCGTCTATATAGCTCATGTGGTTATCAAAGAATGTCTGCAGTTTCTAATTCGTGTAAATCCTAGTTCAGACAACATGTTCACAGGATGATGTAGCTTCCTTGGTGTGCTGCAGGAGATTTGGAAGGCCCCTTTTTTAGATGCTGAATTGTCACCTGCTCTACACCGAGCCTTCTTTATTCCCTGGAGTTGGGAAAGCAAGAACAATTTTGGATCGTACAGGTTGCTTAAAAGAAAGGAGAAATCTGCAGACGACAGTCTTCACATCGATCACTGAAGACATTCAAGAAACTTTGGAACATTGAAAAGCAAACTTGGAGAGCAGCAACGTCGTAACCTGGAGATTTCCTTTTCTTTTCATTGATTCAAGAAATAGCAATGTGAACTAAAGTTGATATCTTCCAACAATCTAGTCTGAAAGTAGAATGAAGAGATGAGCGTTAGACCTACTCCCTTGCTAGGAAGTCTCAAAGAATTATTTTATCTGTCCTAACATATCTGATCAGCTCTCTTTTTTCCCTGAAGCTTGGTCGTTTTTCGAGCTCGCCCTTCATCTAGCAGTGTATGCTACTGCAGTACATATCTGTCGAAGCACTGCAAATGATTTGGTACCTTCTCTTTCTGTTGGTGATGTATGGAAGGTAGTCTACCAAGATATGACTTGTTGGAGATCTTTTGGTTGATATTATAGAGAGCAGAGTCATAAGTTTCTGAGCCTTGAGTCTTCAACTGCTGATTACAATCTGAAGTACGTCCTCTTTTGTATGAGTCGCTTTCGAGTTTTAAATTTGTAACAAGTTTGACATTCTAGGTGAGATTTCACCTTGCAACAAACGGGGCTGCGACGTTTCAAATCCACTATTCAGTTAAATGCTATTGCATGGAGATTGCCTTAAGCGTTGTCAGAAATGGTTGTCATGCACAAATTATACATTATGGTGAACAATAAAGAAACAAAAGTAAATCATTTTTAGACAAAATAGAAAACATTGTCGTTATTCTTGTCTCAACCATATTTGGAATTTAAACCTCTATATTTTAATGTGGCCACCAGACTAAAAACAGATCGCGTGACAAACAACAACACATAGAATGTACCTAAGCCTCCTTGGTGACCGAGGAGCCACTTGTAGGCCTTTCGCTTGTAGATTCCATCCTTTGCTTGCTTCTTACACTTACAACTCTTCATCAAACAATTCGATTTCCAGTTGATGATTGCTCCTCCCCTTTGAAAAGCAACAAGCCCATCGATGAATGAAGATAGACAAAATTTATTCTATCTTCTACTTCTCTTTATTCATCTCTACACCTAGAGCAAAAGTCTATCCTATATTCACTTTAATCATATCATTAATTTGCAACCTTGCATTTCTTGGTATCTAACAACTTTCCTTTATCAAATCAAGTCATGTTACAAAACATAGCCTTATGAATGAACTTCATAACCTGATAACATAATATTTTTGCCCCATGTTGTTGTATCTCCTAACTCATATCGAGCTCTCAAATCTCAAAATATTTGGTCTTTTGCATACTTTTTTGTGGAGCTTTGAACATGCATATGATCTCAAGGCCACAACAACAAACTGCCTCCAAGTTTGTTAAGAGTAAGGCATGCTCTCACATTCTTTCACACAAGGGTATCAAAAGTCCTTATGAGCTGTCACTCGTGAACCAAATATTGTCTCCCGCTTAATTAGACTGCGATTTCTTTTTCATTGATTTGCTCAAATTGGAATCTGCACTAACTTGTTCCTTTGCTTCCTCAATTTTTTATCGCCCATAAAAAATGATCATTTTTATTTTGCCCAAATTTTTATTATGTATGTAATGAAATATTTTTTTATTTTGAAAATTTATTGCATTCATTTCAAGTGATTGAGTAAAAATTTGAAATGTATATAGTAAGTTAGGTTCAAATCTACTGAAAACCTCGACATTGCAACTTATGCCTGTTTGATTTGGAATTTGAGTTAAGCATAATCGGACGTAAATTGTGTAGTTGTGGGGATAATCTCACATACTTTTACTTAAATATCAAAATTCATATGTTTTATTTTCATTCTCTGTTAAAAAATTATAATTTTTAAAAAAAATATCAAATTAGATTATTTTTCTTAAGTAATATTTAATATGAAACATAGTTATTTTTTCTTATTCTACTCTATTTTTAAGATTAATTATCATATTGGATATAAATTAAACAAATTTCTTTAATTCATCTGAGTTTATTAAAATATTTCAATGTTTAAGTTAGGTATCAAGATTTTCTAAAGTATTTGTAGTAAAAGTCTGAGTACAAATTATCAATATGAAATACAAATATACAATTTCTAATGTAAAAAAATGGATATTTAAAAAGTTCATGTATAATCGAAATGAAAGTGACATCATTCACGTAAAGACTTAAAATAAATCAAGTGATTATTCCTTTCTTGTCACAATCTGCCTTAGGACTAATGTAGGTTTTTTTGGCCACGGGTTGTTTTGTGATGGTTCTGGAACAGTTCAATGTATATCATGTCTCCATACTTCTTATTTTCCTTCACAATTCGTTTCGAACATATCAAATTGAAACTTTCACTTCTAATTTACAGTCAAAACCTGTACACTGCCATGTCCAGTGTTACGTCAGTCCAATCCAACTTTCACATACCGTCATCAGAAGAACATCTTCGTTGATAATTGTCCCTGAAGAAGGCTTGAAGAAGGACCCACCAGCCCAGAGGGCGAGAAGGATCCATATACATACGAAGAATTATGTTAGGGTTCATATATGTACCGTACTTCTACGTTTCCACGTCCTAAAACCCTAAACCTTGGCCTCGTTTTCTCTCGTCTGGGTGAGAGAATCCCACGGATTCCACCGCAGCACTCGATACGACTGCTGCACCTTCGCGCTTCGACATCCTCCTCTGACTTTCTTCGCTCTGATCAGCTGCTCTCGACCCATCACGACCCTGATTGGCGATTGTGACCTCGCTGGCATTGTGGTCTCTGAGAATGTGCCTCCAGCTCTTTCAGCTGATGCGGGAGGAAGCGAGTACAGCCGTGTAGAGATGGTTATCTGTGTCGGTAAGAAAATTTGACGTCTCCCGAGGGATTTTGGAAATTCGGAAGGATCAGCTCTGGGTGGAGATTAGTTGGCTGGCATCGAAGGAAGTCGGTTTTGTAGACCAGAAGGAAAGGAAAAGAGTGGAAGGGAAGCGATGACGGAGGTGAAGGTTTTAGAAGGGAAGGATTTGACGAAGATAGAACGCATTGGAGCGCATTCTCACATCCGAGGATTGGGTCTCGATGATGCATTGGAGGCGCGGAAGTCGTCGCAGGGGATGGTGGGGCAGCAAGCTGCACGGCGAGCGGCCGGAGTGATTCTGCAGATGATTAAGGATGGAAAAATTGCGGGGAGAGCTGTTCTTTTGGCCGGGCAGCCAGGAACGGGGAAGACTGCGATCGCAATGGGTATGGCTAAGGCTTTGGGAGAAGAAGCTCCGTTTGCTATGATGGCGGGGAGTGAGATATTCTCGTTGGAGATGAGCAAGACGGAAGCTTTGACTCAAGCGTTTCGGAAAGCTATAGGGGTGAGGATTAAAGAGGAGACGGAAATTATCGAGGGCGAGGTCGTCGAAATCCAGATTGATAGACCTGCCACTGCAGGCGCTGCATCGAAAACTGGAAAACTCACTTTGAAGACCACGGAAATGGAGACTGTTTATGATCTCGGTACGAAGATGATCGAAGCGCTCAGTAAACAAAAAGTCCAGAGCGGCGATGTCGTAGCCATTGACAAGGCCTCAGGGAAGATTTCCAAGCTGGGACGTTCCTTTGCGAGGTCGCGTGATTATGATGCCATGGGACCCCAGACAAAGTTCGTACAGTGTCCAGACGGCGAGCTTCAAAAGCGCAAGGAGGTTGTCCACGTCGTCACCCTGCACGAAATTGATGTAATCAACAGCAGGTTCGTTTTTGCCGAGTCTCTCATACTTGCAGGAAAAATGATTTGCTCCTCATCGCATATTTTCTGGACGAGATCGCCATGTGAAGTTGTATCGTATGAGCCTCGTGATGCCATCATGTTACTCCGTTCACTTTTCCCACTTCCTTCTTTTGTAAGCAGACATAGACACCTCTAGGACATCTTCTTTGTTAGTTTAGCGGATGCATGACTACGGTTATTAGACTTGTGTGCCCACGCAGACTACACTGCGTTCATTCGTGTTATAAACACGAATGAGAAGTACAATGCATGGCTGACTTGTTTGTCTTCTTCTTTCAAAGAACGCAAGGGTTCTTGGCACTATTTACTGGGGACACAGGAGAAATAAGGACGGAAGTACGCGAACAAATTGATGGCAAGGTTGCCGAATGGAGGGAGGAGGGAAAGGCCGAAATCATCCCTGGTGTACTCTTCATCGACGAAGTACACATGCTTGATATCGAATGTTTCTCGTATCTGAATCGGGCTCTGGAGAACGAAATGGCTCCCATTTTAGTAGTGGCCACCAACAGAGGGATAACCAGAATACGTGGTACCAACTACAAGTCTCCTCACGGTATACCAATTGATCTACTTGATCGCCTTTTGATCATAACCACGGTTCCCTATTCAGAGGAAGAGATCAGAATGATTCTGGATATCCGATGTGAAGAGGAAGATGTGGAGATGTCCGATGACGCGAAAGAGCTCTTGACAAAAATTGGGAAGGAAACATCTCTACGGTATGCAATACATCTGATCACTGCTGCTTCTCTAGCCTGCCAAAAGCGGAAGGGCAAGGAAGTGGAAATTGAGGACATAGGCCGAGTCTATTCCCTGTTTATGGATGTGAAGAGGTCTACTCAGTTCTTGATGGAGTACCAGGAACAATTTATGTTCAACGAAGTACCCGGCGTTGAAGGCGATGACGGGCAAATGGCGGATTAACTTTCTCGACCCTTGCAGCCACAGCTGAGAACACGTGAAACGCGGAGAACGCTAACGCCTAAGCTGTAAGTTGGCCCTTTTGATTGAGTCGCCAGCCTTTAGACCATGATTACCATATTCAAAGTTTTTGGTCTTTGCTTTGTGATCCTGTGGTTTTCAAGGACTGCTATTACTTGGACATAGCTTCCTTCCGGTTTTGAAAATGAAAACTGGAAATAGGGCCTTTTGTGATACGGGGTACTGAAAGAGTGGTCTGTCGTGCGTCACAGTTCTTTTGTTTTTCAAGCATAACATAAATACGTACAACGATTCTTTTAGGATGATTGCAACTTGAAATTACTGAAACACCTTTTGAGCCTGAAGGAGCTTCAATTGCAGTTTCAAGTGAATTTATTCATCTTTCACGATCGATCAATAGTCTTGTGATCACGATTTTTTCAATTATTTTGAAATAATCGCTCGATGATACACTAGTGTAAGCTATTTTATTTCGAACTAATGTGGTCAGCAAATTTTGTGATGCAGTCGTGATGTGGACCGCAACAACGCTGTAGGTGTCTGCTGTCAGGGAATGGTGCTTTGTGACCAAGGCGGAGGTGCCGGAGTGAACGCTGAGGACATCCCATCGAGTCTCCTCGAAAGCAGAAAGAGCTTTTATTGGGATGAACTAATCCCGCTCATTGTACTCTAGCTTTGGATGTAGCTTGACATAAATCCTATGACCGTTATCATGTACGGACAAAGGAGGTCATTGTGTGCTCCAAAACCTGTTTTCTAAATTTTTCATGTCACAGTAGGATGTAAATTAACAATGAGCCACATAGTTGTAAACCGGCCGAGAGTAGTGTCGTTGGAACGTATGCAAATTTTACATATCATTACCACACGCCTCTGATTTTGAGTTCCATACGATGGAAGGATTGTTTCCCTTTGAAGTGCATTTTTAATACATATTCCGGTTTTGTGTAAAACTTTGTAAGCAAGGTAACGAGTAAGTGAAGTCCAGAAGAACCAATGTGAGATGAAATGTATAACACCTACATCTCTAGTTTTTCATGGATCATAAATTTTGTGACAATCTCTTGGGCTAAACACACCACTACGCTCTGAGATTCTCTTCACTTCTGAATTTCATGCTCTGTATGTTTGTGGGCCAGATCAAGCTAACCGTATCGTATAAGTTCTTAGTCTTGTTATAGAATTTTCTAGCAGGTAGTTGTGAGTGCAACCACACACCAGTGAGTAGCTCTTAACAGGCGGCCTCCTGAACTTCGCACTTAGTGTGGTCCTGTAGTCATTGGTGTCAAAACGTTTGCTTGCCAATTGCTGGCGACCTGTACCGGTTTCTATGACCACTTTTGTCGTTAGATGTCAATGGGTCGACTGATCCTTAATCAGACTAGTCCAGACAACATGAGGACGAAAAACGGAATGTTTGTTAACTCTTACGCGAAGCTCACTTAAAACTCCAGTCGATCCTGCACACATTAGGCGCAGAAACTGATTCAGAATCCCTACCACTCGCGCGGAACCTACACATTCCTCAACACAAGTAGGACGGACAGGATATGTTTAGGCCTCGAAATGTGCCCCAAATGGTGATAGCAACCCAAATTTGCAATCACCTCTTGCTTGGTAGGTCGCCAAGTTATTGAAGAAGCGAGTCTGAATCAGAGACAGGTCCAGCCCTCTCACCGAGAACCTCAACGAGGAGCACGGGCACGGCTGTAGGGGCAAGAAGAAAGCCCTGGGTCAACGACCAGTACTTCTAGCTGCTGATAATGTAACCGCACCAACCGAGTGCACAGCTTTCGTACATTCAGCAGTTATTGATGGTCAGAACATTCTCAAACTGCTGCTCCTTTTTGCGACAGAAGGATTAAAAAATGTATATAAAATTTAATTATGAAAATCAGTGCGCTACTGTATGTGTATCGAATTGGAGAGAAGAACTGTTCACATGGGCTTGTACCGACGGTCAACGGGCGAAGATCTTTTGGTATAAGGTGGACACTTTTCGTGCGCTGAAACGGATGCGGATGTTTTTAGTCCGCGAGCTCGTCGTGCTTACAGGGCAGCACGTCCATGAGGTCCACGAGCACGCCTTCTTGAGGACCTGCGACAACAAGACGACGCATGTAGATTAGAAAGAGGGACGACGTCATTTAGAGCAGTTGATTTTTGTTATCGAGGCTCGCGCGATGCGATTGGTCATGCTTGCTTTCGAGTTTTCTGTGCCGTGCATTCTCGGTTGGCATGAGCTACTGGAGAAACGAGGAAGTATGGAGTAATCGCTATCAATTCTTGCATTGGGCTTTCGGCTTGCTTCCTCCTCTCGGAACGAGAATTTAAGATCGCTACCGAGAGGAGAAGGCTGAACTCCTGAGCGCTGATATTGCTTTCAATTTCCGATTATCTTAGATTGAAGTAGAGCAGGTTCTTTCCGTAGATTTCGGTCGATCGTCGTAGTCTAGGTCGCATGGCAGTGAGGGAATGAAAATTTTTCTGTAGGGTATCCCTCGACCAGTTAGCATAAGAACTGAACGAATGGAGCGGAGGATGTTATTGTGGCCTGAAATGGCAGAGTTTTGTAGGAGAAGAGTTGAAGACCGGATTTCGGTGACAGCTCTCCTAGTGACATGTCGACTAGTTCTACCAAGGGAACATGTTTTCTAGGCCTAAGCAGTCAGACAGCGTTCGATTTCCTACAGACAGGCAGTTATAAAACTTGAAGCTGCCGCAAACGGAAATGAGCTGAGGCTCGCAGGAAATATTTAATTGAACTAAATTTAGCAGTTTGTATCGAAGCTAGTCGGAACTCGACAAGAGAGCGATGGAAAATCGAGTGTTATGGCTTCTGTGGTTAACTGGAGCATTTTTCTTGGGAACTGCTTTTTACACTTCGAGGTTGATGTCAATAATGTGGGTGGCTCCGAGAACGATAGAAAGTCTCGAAGAAAGATCCCCGTATGGATGGCTTTCAGCACCAGTTGAAGAGCTGGCAGTGACTATATTCACTGCTCCGGGTCCCCTTGTTGGGGACGTGGGGTTTCGTCAGAAGATGGCAATTCAGTCCTGGTTACGTCTGGTGCCGTGCCCCAAAGTGGTTTTACTTGGTCAGCATTCATCGCTGACTGACTTTGCTGCAGGGAAGTCTCATGTCACAGTGGAGGATGATATTGACTTCACGTAAGTGTTCCGAATCCGCCCTGTTTTTCGTTCGGAGTTCAAACAAGTTCTTAGTGATATTGAGCTGCCAATTCATGGACTTTGTCGTAGATTATAATGTCGGAGGGGTGTATGTATTCCATTCGACCATCCGTCCCGTAATCAAGTTCTACAAAAAGAGTATGGAGCCTGCCGGTTCTTTCACGGAGCGTGCTTTCCTGTATACGTCATGAGAAGGATATCGTGAAGGCCCTTTGAAAGAAGAAGTAATTAGTTGTGTGTGAACCTAACATCTCGAGCTTGTTCGTTCGTCAATTAAATAACTGTAATTAGCACGATTCTTGCTAAATAACTGTAAACAAGCAGTCAAAAGCTGCATCTGATCAATACAGTGAGTATCAACTGCAATTTTTTGATGCAATTATTTGTCCTTTTTCTGGAAGATGCAGATTCTCTGGACAAGCAATGTTTCATGGAATGGTGCAACGAGCTCTGAGAGTACAGTCTGGTGTTGTTGTGATGATAGATTCGGAGTTGATCCTGCTTCCCCATGTATCAGTAGTTCTGAGGAGTCTGCATGCAGTCGATCACGACTGGCTGCTCACTGGTCTACCTCGAACTGTCGACGATTTTCCCTACTCTCTCCGGGATGATTGGCTTCAAGCTCATGGCGTCCAAATTGAAGATGAGAAAGTATGCTTATTTCTCCTCAACACCATATTTGGCTTATCCGCTGCGTATGTCAGTTTTTTCTTCTCCAGGACTTTTACGTCATTTTTAATTCATTTGGCTTTTACTTACTGTAGGATTCTCTTGGTTTGTTTGCCAGTCCCTTTTCTCAAATATGCTCACCTCGCCCCTTCTTCTTGAAACTCCTGCAAATTGAGCAGCACCATTAACGCGATGGTTAACATGTTGAAAAACGTGCCCTTCTTGGTACTTGCGGCATTAGTAAGAATGAAATAAGAATTAGTCGCTGTGGAATGACGCGTCTCTTTGCTCCAGTCTAATATATTTTGAAGAAATCTGATAAGAAATTCACCTGCGGACTGAAGTCTTTCTCTGGACTGATCACTCGAACGATGCACCCAATATGTCTAGAAATTTGTCTGATATTTGGTTGATAAGGTTGTCCCCAGCTCTTCACTTGAGGGATGAATTACCAAAAGTGGTTAGGGTGGTCTGTATGTAAGAGATTTGATAAACAACCAAGCTCGGTGTAATTCTAACTTCGTCCTTTCTCTGCTTTGACCCGTAGTTATTCTCCTCGTTGCAAGTGGTTGTGCTCATTACCTGCATCTGCGTCTTTGCATATGCAAAAATTCTCTTCATAAGCGCACGCCGCCCCTGCGAAAAGATAATTGTTACTGATTGGTCATGGGTTGGAGCGGTGGTACATTGCAGGTGAATGCATACGTGAAGGCAAACGGAAACTGGATCATCGGCGGGGTCGCACAGTTTTGGGCTTGGAATGCAAACAGTCGACCTCTTCATGCAGGGGTGATGCCTCCTTTTGTCTTTAAACAGGGTCAGCACGATTCTTGGTTACTCGCAGAGGCACTTACTTCGAAGTACCGCCTTGTTATTGATGGAACTGAAGCCTTGAACGTGTTTCGTATAGTAAACACGATGGATGGGAATGAACCAAAAAAGACGAGGGAGATCAGAGGGAACATCGAGCTGGCATCCACATATGGGTCGTACCATTTTAGACCTTCCAAACTATCGGACGTTCCCTTCAAGCTCGTTACATGTGGTGGTTTACAATCGAAGACCTTCTGTATCGTCAATCTCTCCCAGCAACCCTGTGTCTGCTCAGCTTTGCATCTACCAATCAAAGCAAGGGGCGAGCAAGATTTAAGAGAGAGCAGTAGAACAAGATGGCCACAAACCCAGGAACATTTTAGATCTTGGTTAGATCTCTTCCTACAGAGAGATGCAAAACTCCTCAACAACTGGAAGAGTACAGAAAGTAGCCTAATAGTGGGAAGCGATTCTTGGACACAGAAGGTAATGAATTTTTTGACTCAGCGTATGCTGGGTCCAAGCACATTACCCACAAAGCAAGGCTTGGACTGCGGCTGCGATAATCAAGCCTCGAATCGTAGAGTACTATCTGAGAAGTCCGATTTTGTTGAATCAGAGAGTATAGAAGAAGTGCCTTACTCTCTCGAGAACTTGCTAAAAAAGCGTGCAAGTGCTGAAAACGTGGTGATCCTGGCCGTGGTGGGGAATAGCTACCGTGATATGTTGATGAACTGGGTTTGCCGGTTGAAGCACCTGAACGTGTCAAACTACTTGGTGTCAGCCATAGATGATGATATCTACCGGTTTGCTGTTCACCAGGTATCTCTCCTTTGATTTCCGAGGGTAACATGCATGCCGTCACAGAGTCAACTTTAGAGTCCATGTGTTAAGGGAACCAGCCTTTAGACCTATAATTTTTCGTTCAGGATGGTTTCCATCTAGAACTTTTGACCTTACTGAAAAGTGGTGTGTGGTGGTTATGCAGGGTTTGCCAGTATTCAAGAGCCGCATCACAATGAATGTAAGCCGCAATGAGTGCCACTTTGGCACTCAGTGCTTTCAGAAAGTGACGAAAATGAAGTCACGCACAGTACTGGAAATACTGAAATTGGGTTACCACGTTCTTTTCAGTGATGTGGATGTGTACTGGTTCCAAGATCCTTCGCAAGAACTAATGGCATTTGGTCCGGGCCACATGTGTGCGCAAACGGATCAGTGGAATGCAAGTGGTATGCTTTGATTTCAGCCTTTCTATATTTCAGCCGTTCATGCCAAGCGTTTATCGTTCATATGGCTGTTCCCCATATCCATTGATTGCTTTTGGTGCTCTTTTTGCTTGTAGTTAGAGCACTTCGAACCGACTAGCATCGGGTGCTTAGGGTCTGGTCCACCTGGCCCAGCATCCGGTCGGGAAGGAACGTGCTAATATTGACTGCATGCTAGCAAATGCCGAACCTTGTGTATTTTCGAACAGGAACATTTTGGAACCCAACATTGATTATCATCCTCAGGTTAAATCCATGGCGAACGTAGGTTACCTTTCGAGTCGAACACAATATAGTGTCTCGGCATCCACAAGACTGATTTCGATTTTTTGTCTTCTTCTTGCAGAACCACTAAACCAGCCCCGAAGATTAAATTCAGGATTCTACTTCGTATGGTCGGATAATCGAACAATTGCAGCCTTCAGCAACATCGTACAACATGCAGCCAACTCTGAAAAGTCGGAGCAGCCCAGCTTTTACGATGTTCTGTGTGGTAATGGAGGAATATATACAGTTGGAAATGATTTGTGTGTGCAGCCTATTTTCAATGTTACTGTTCACTTTTTGGATCCTGCAAAGTATCCAAACGGGGCTTTCCAAAGATTATGGGAAAAGAAGAATGTGAGGGAAGTCTGCGAGGCCCAGGGTTGCAGAGTTTTGCATAATAACTGGGTGAGTGGAAGGAAGAAGAAGCTGGAGAGACAGTTTACGACAGGTCTTTGGGATTATGATGCAAAAACTCGCTTGTGCACGAGGAGCTGGGGCTAAGCTACAGCTCACCCGTATGCATAAGAAATTATTCAGCACATTCAATGTACCAATATGCAAGTAAAAATAAGTCAAAGCCGCGATCAATGCGGCAACGATTCACATTCACTGCTTGCATGATCCTCTCATGTTACCCATGCTATTTGTCATTCTTCTACATGCAATCTTCGTATATCATGAAGTGAAATGAAGAGATTTATCGTTGCACGTCTCCAACAACATTTTATATCTTGTTGTAATTTGCGAAATCCCCAGGTCATATCTGTAGGTCCATCGGTTCCTCTTTACTCGTCGTCACCCACCTTTCACTTGCCCATGAGAGGCAAGACTTTGGAGAGTTTCTCGTTCCAGTCACTATCAAGCTCTTGAAGACTAAGATGCCAAATAAGTGGCATGTGTCACGAACCAATTAACAATCAAGTGTCAGCACCCGCCTAGGGATAGTATGACCATACACTTGTTACGAATTTGCAACTGATAGCTGTATCGTTCGCAACGCAACAAATAATTACAATCTGAGTTGAAAGACAGCAAGCTATTGGGTCACTAAGAATGCCGAAGGGTCAAAGACATCCACCTGCAATGTGGCAGCTTCCTCGCTGATTCAGGAGTTGTGGAAAGGGTCAAAATATTATTTCAAAGGAATGCCAAGAAGATATACATGGGCAGGGTCCTGGGACACAATACGACCCAACCCTGAAAAGCTGTGTCGAGTCGAGCGTAACTGACAGACACGCGTTTATGGTGACTAAACTGCTGAAACCCACCGACTTCAACCTGTTGAACCGACGACGCGATTTACATGCTACAAAGTTCTAGCGTTCGGCTGTGTCTCGCTGAAGCAGAACAATCGTTCAGCAGGCAGCGAAGCCGGACGGAATCAAAGCAAGGAACGAAGCATTTGTAATCTAGAGGTTGCAGAGAAATCACACGAACGGATCGTATTTCATGGCGATGAGCTCCTCGAGAGGCTTGAATATCGGGTCAGGGACATTGGGCCATTCGATCCAGTGCCAGCCGTCGCATCTGTCGGGCTCCAACGTTCGAGGTTGAGCCCTGGGGTCCACGAGCTCGGCCTTCACGTAGACCGTCACGTAGTGCGCCGGGCGCAGATCGTCCAGCAGAACGCTGTTGGTCACGGTACCCAGCCGCACATTCTGAATCAGAAGTCCCGTTTCCTCCTCCACCTCCCGACACGCGCATTCCTCAAACGTCTCCCCTGCTTTCACGCAAGCACAAACGACATTCGTGTCAGAATCTCAACAATCTATCAGAGCTGCAGTTTGTTGGATGTAGAATTTATTCGAGTCCAACGACCTACGAACGATCAGCCTGTAACTCGATAGGCTCCTCCACTGATGTTGATCCCCACCAGTGTTATGTCCGAGGGCCTGGGACAAGCGGGGACCGTCATTGAGGATTTGTATTTGGGCCCGTGGTCCGTCGAGAGCTCGAGTCCACACAGCCTCGCCGAAAGTTTCTCGACTCGGCTCATGAAAGGTAAGATTTGGAGGTCCAAGAGTTTCTTCGAGTACGTCTAGCTTATTCAGTCAGGGACAGGAGTATCCGCAGAGCTATCAGTCACCGAGATTATTGCATCAAAATCCAGTGAAGTGCAAGAACCACTCGGACGAAGGTCGATGACTGAAGAAGCGGTTTGCGATTGCCAACCATGCGAGCTCTGGACCGTATCGTATTTCCTCTGCCCGCAGTCCTGTGAGCTGAAACAGAGCAACTGCAGGTCTCAGTCGCAGTGATATAGTTCAACTCTCCTAGCGCTCAGGGTGCGACCCGTAGATTGGGACGATGGTGGGCAAAGTTGTAGCTGTGAATTGAATTTCACTGGCTCCTTCCGCGCGTTGCAGAACTGACCCTCTACAGTTCCACGGCAAGCATCGAACTGGACAAAGGAGAGTTTGGCAGAGAGGACTCTAATCTCTGAAACTAAAGTCCAATACGAGCCGTAGTCGTGGCACTCCTGCTGTGAGAAAGCTCTCAGCTGCTGTCAGCTGGGGTAGCAATGGATGGAGTGATGACAGGGTCTATGGATTACAGAAAATGAACATGCTGTCAGAGAGTTCTTCGATCTAATTCCACCCGCTGGCTCGCTATCTCCAGCAGCTGACATCGTGCGTCTGAAGAATGAGCGAGCGTGCAGGGAATGCGCAGCTCCAATCTCCACGGGAGTGGAGATTTGCACGTAGACAAATCTTGTGAACAATTGATGGTTGGGGAGAAACACTGACCGAACTCCAGATGACCGCCGGGAAGCGCCCAACTGTCGTAGCCCACTTTGGACTTCCGCCTGCCGCACAGAACATTGAGGTCCCGGCATATGAGCACTGCCACTCCTACTTTGGGTATTGGATCAGAGCTCGAGTGGCCTTCCAAATCGTTGGCCGCCATTTCAGTAGATCCTCTCCTTCTCGTCCGTCCGTCACTCAAGCAACCAGCAGCAGCAGACGACCGACCGACCAGCTCAGATATGGTTGCTCCAACTGATTGTCACTCGTGCGCCTCAGACACCAGACAGCTACGTACTTCACACACTCACTCACTCGCTCTCGCTCTCTCTCTCTCTCTCTCTCTCTCTCTCTCTGGCCTTGCGTGTGCCTAAATCTCTGAGCTTGTACTCGAGGAGCAGGACTGATGATCGTCCGCTGTACGCAGAGACTGAGACCGAGAGACGTGAGCTCGTGGACAAGACCGGGGTCGAGAGACCAAGCAAGACCTGGAGCAGTCAGACACAGGCAGTATTCTGTAGAGTGGGAGGGAAGGGGAGGCGAGACGAGGCGAGGGGACGTACAACTCTCATCACGCAGGCAAACACAAATTCTGTGGGCCAGATGGCGCTGACGTCCAAGACGATGACACGGAGCTGACACGAAGAGTACGACAAGAGGGCGGTTACAGGTGCGTAGTTCGTAATCTGTTGAGCGCTGTGGGCCAGGTGGTTCGCAAGAATACGAGTACCAGTACGAGTACACTGCAGAGACGAACAGTATCTTCTCGATCACTGATGCAGTGACATGTGCGGGCTTCCAGACATTTGAGCTATCGAACACGCCATGATCGGGATCTTGGAGATGCCGATAGACGCAAAGACGGTTGAGTGTCTTGCCACTCGTGATAGGTGGCCGGTTCCTTTTACAATTCGCTTGTCTGTTTGATCCTGGTCTCTTTCCTTAGCCGAGAGGTCTTTCTCGGGAGGTCGGAATGTTGAGGTTGTTGGAAAGCTTACTACTCATCGATGCAGAGGTAATCCATCACGAAGGGCCAAGGAATTTACATGACCTGCAGTTGTAAACGATGTCTGGGGCCACTGCAAGTATCTAGACGGCGACGAGACTGTTGGGTTGTGCTTGGCTCAGCTCCTGCTGCAGCAGCAGCCACCAGCACAAGTCCGTGGGCTGCCAAAAGTGGCGGCGAACTTCAGCTGGCTGGCGGCAGGACATTTGCATGGAGAGGGAGAAATAGACCTAATCACCAACACGCTTCCACTTCAGACTTGTCGGCTTGTGTTGCCCGCCTGACTGCACTTGCTCGTCACGACGCTATCTAACATCTCTTGTTTCTTTGTTGTACTCTGTGGCTCGAACTACAAATCCATTCCAGTCATCGTTTCTGACTGCTTCTGTGACGCTCTGCTCCTGAAGACAGAAGAGGTTCCAGAAAGGCGAATGTTTCTCTCCTCTTCTTCTTCGAGCAGGGCAAATCCAAGTAGAAAGAGGTTGCATCTAGTCTATCTCTTTTGGATCGTGCTTCTAACTATAGCATGCGTATCGAAGGGGTCCGTGATATGGCTTGTGTGCTTGACACCTGGTGGCGTGTTGCCATCCTTGTCTTCGTGGGCGAATAGGGTCATGCGCAAGAGTTACGGCCATCATTCTATTTCCTTGTACGACTTGTCGGGCCTTCCCATCCTTCCCGCTATTCTACAGCGTCCCACTGGAAATTGTTCTATTTGCATCTACTAACATTGTGCTCGCATGCAAGCTTCATCTGCCGTAAATCGAGGGATAAAGTGCATAGGATATTGGTAGAGCACTCAAGCTTGGACTTGGGTGGATGCTGGCTTCTTCCGAGCGGTGTGAAACACTGACCATGTCGTGTTGGAAGCTTTGACAACCAGCACATGATCCAAGTGTGGGATGAATGAAGGCCGGGCACTACTGAACTACTAAACTGAGGCAAGCAAATTTTCTCTGAGGTTCAAATACCGAAGTTACAGTCGTGTCACCCATACGATCGTTCATATCGTAGTTCTGAACACGTCAAGTTTGCCGAGTGTGTGCTAGCATGGAGCAACTCATGGAGCTGGTGTCTGTCTGAGAGAGATGTTCCATCAAAGGCCCTTGTAACGCATTTCAAATTTCAGACAGCAATAGTGGAATCCACAGGTTACATAGAAGCTGACATAGAAGCAGCTGAAGTTCATGAACTGCTTGCTTCTAAGTTGTAACTACCGATTAATAATGCAGTACAGATCCATAGGAAATTCAGAATAGATCCCGCGGCACGAGTGCAGTCCAACCGACATTTGTGTGCCCGAAAACAGCATTAATTCATACATAAATTGCACTCTACATGCGTTGTCATGGCTCTGACCATCGCTGCTGATGGGGCTGAAAGAGGAGTCTCGCAGCCAACACCGAGACGAGGCAGGCCAGGGCCAGGCCACACAGTTGTCGTCGTTGAAGTAAAAGCCGTACTACTCCTGATCCAGCTAATGTGATGCTACGCTAGATGGGTGTGGTTTCATCTAGCAGATTCCAGGATGATCTGAAGTGCAAACTTCAAGCTCTGTCAAGAATTTACGATCGCTGAGAGCACGAGGAAGAATATGGGCTGTGCTGGCCGTTTGACGATACTCCCAACTCAGAGGTAAGACTGGTGACACGAATGTTATGGTTGATGTGGTTGACTCTGGAGCCAAAGTCTCCGTCGTTGGGGTCTCCTGCCTCGAGCGTCTCCAGCAGGATGATGTTCTCAAGCTCTGCATCTTCAGGGTGCAGGTCTTCCAAAGAGGTCCACTGCCGTGGACTCGAACACTTCTCGCTCTCAAATCCAGGAGTGCCATTCACCACCGTGATGTCCTTCACGTGCTCAACGATCACAGTTTCTGTTGTTGTGGAATGAGCAGAAGAAGGCGCTGATAGATGGGTGGTCAAATCAATGGACGACACAGGGATGTCGTGTGTATTCGTCTGTGCTGAGAGTGATTTCAGCAACTGCGTGGGCAGCGGTGCTTTCACGAAGGGATTGGTCCCTTTGTCGATCATAACTGCACACTCCAACGTCGAGGCACAGGCACCAGGGGCGTCAGAGATTACGTGAATCACACAAAGTTCACTCATTTTCATTCAGTGAGAGCAAAACGAAAATCAATGTCATCTCATCGATCTCAAAATAGTTCACTATAATAAATGAAAAGAGATTAATTAAAATCCAGGCCGGAAGGGAGCTGACGTTTCGCGCTTTCATGCACATGAAACAATTATGCAGATGACAAGAGTTGTAGATATGCAAGAAAGATATAACGTCATATCAAATTAATACCAATGCAGTTTTGCTTCAACCTTTAATAACACTTTTCAGCCTTTTACAATCCACACCTTGTTCGTTTTACGTGACACACACCGTCAGTGTCGAGAAATCTGCAGTCCGGAAATTCGAGATCTAGACTTGAGGGCAATGAATTGACGTATATGAATCGACCCTTCGGCTCAAATGTAATGGTAATGGACGCAAGGAGATGGAAGTGCGAGAAGGTGACTCACAAGAAGGTGGAGTTGCCAAAGGCGGAAGCTTTCTGCGTGCCACTTCCAGCGAGGGCAGGTTTGCGGGGCTGTCAGCCGGATCATCGCCGTTGCTCCGGGCGGGGCTCAGCACACCTTGAGCACTCGGAGCTTCCTTCTCCTGCCGCACGCACGCACCGTCGACGACTCTCAGACACTCTCAGAGAAATTTCAGAAAGCCAGGTTCCAACAATCTTTCTTTCGACCGAGAATTAAATGGGAATCTATTCAAACTTATTCAATCCTATTCAATTCGATTCGATTCGATACCTCTGGTTCAGAATGGCCGCCGTGATGGTGCTCTTCAGCTCCTTGTTGCAACTCCACCGTACTCTCCAGCGAGCGTAGGACTCCGCCATAGCTCACAATCTTGTCCGCGGTGACCTTGGGTTTGCATTTCTGTGCGGAGGCTTCCTGCGCGTTCAGAATTTCTTCGAGACTGGCCAGCGTCCCGACCAACCCATTGCTGACTCGCGCCTTGCCCACTCCGGCCGACGGTTCGTCCGATGGTTTGGCGCAATGCGTGCACGAGTCTCCGTTGCTGGTGGCGAAGGGGAAAGGCAGAAGCGGAGTCCCATTCGCCACACGATGATCCGGCTGCACGCAGTGGACATGGAATGGAGCTCGGTTAGAATGTCCCTAACTCTCAAATGCAGTCGCTCGTCCCACAACTCAAAGATCGAACACTCCCTTCCCTTCCTGACTTCAGAGTCCGGGACTGAAGTTACTCCACGATGCGCTCGACCCTCCGAGCGTGGACCTCGAGCTCACACTCGACCGCGAGGATTTATGCTTCATCTACCGATTTTGGTCTCGCGAGTCTCGCTGTGAAGCCTCGCCGATGCACATTGGGCAAGACCTCAGTCACACCAAGACTTCAATCAGAGAGGTCTCTAAGCTGAAAGAAGTCCTGATGACTCCTGATTCATGAGTTTCCTAGTAGCAAAATCGAGACGACAAGAGCACAATGCGTTCTCCCGCTCTCTCTATCGGTACATGAAGCAGAAATGAGAAATTAACGATTTCGTTCATTTCTCAGTACCGATCGACCGAAGTAGAAAGGAACTTGGCATTGGTTAAAATCTTGGACCATGAATCTTGGCCAAGTGAGTGAGTGAGTTAGTTCACTTCAACCATCTCCATCTTCATCTCATCGGCGGTACACTTCATATTGAGCACAAGCCAATTGAAACCGTGTTCGGCCCGAACTTGAGAATTTCAAGCGTCGACGGAGAATCGAGAGTCGAATCGAAATCAAGAAAGTTTTTTCTGTACTGACAATAAGAGCCGCTTGCAATCGCTAGAATGGCTTCGAGAGTGGGAGGTGAACCTACCGATGCAGCAGCAGCAGCTGGGGCTGGGACTGGGACTGGGGCTGGGGCTGGGGCTGGAGATGGAGCGGGGGCGGGGGCGGGGACGGCGATGGGCGCAGGAGGAGTTGGAAGCGGAGATGGAAGCTTGTTGGGGGCGACGCTGACGCTGACGGGAGAAGCGCGAGGGGTGGTGGTCGTGACGTTGGCGGTGAGGGGCTCTTGGGTCACGGGAGTGGTGGTCACGACATCGAGAGACTTGGTGTCCGAGCCATCTCGGACGACCACCGACTGGATGCGAGAAGGCTCGGCAATGTCCTCTTTAGAGACCCCGCACCCCATTTCATGCCTCTGTCATCAGCTCACCCTGCTCCCATCCCCGACGATCGCCTCTACCACTGACACCCTCCTTCCATCGCCAGCCGGGGATGCCGAAACTGCAAGCACTGCACCGATTCTCGACAGTTCGACAGTTCGACAATTGCGCAATTCGACAATTCGACGATTCGAAGGCAAATCGCAGCTGGTCCGGCAATAAGGGCGGGGCTCGGAAATTCCACGAAGCGAGATGGAACTGCGCGCGGCTCTTTAACCGCCCCACGATCGATTCTTTCCATCGCGACGAGCTCCTCCATATCCTCGCGCTGGCTCGTGCATCAGCACCGTAAACACTCATGATTCAAATGTCGTTACAGGCGGATGGATGCCCGCCCCACGTGGCACGGCGCTCGGATTTTCATCCTCCCCTCCCCCCACACCATCCTCCCAAATTCCAGCTGCTTTCTCCCCGTGGGAAACGCCATCGATCTGGATCCGGCCCTTCGGAACCAGCCGCTTCTGACCAGACATCGCAGAGCATTCGGGCCGATCGATTGATTCCTCCAGGCAGTGTGAATGCAGATCGACCCCCCGATGAATCAATCGATCGCCGCCCAGCAGAGTGCGCATCCGAACTGCCAGCCAGCTACTTCGGATGAAGTACTCGACCGATCGGACAGGCTTTCTGTTCGGCTGTGCGGATTCGAGGTCGGAGTGCATCCAGAGCAGAATTCCCGGAGCCAGCGGTGTCTGCTGGGTTCACAGAAACACAGAAATTGTGCGGCCCATGTGAATGCGTCGTGCCTGGCGAGCTATCTTGCCCTCTCGAGAGATCAGAATGCGCCCCGAGCCGTTTCTGGTGGGAGGAGCTCGAGAGTGCCAGAGGCAGAGGATGAGTGTGCTTCATGCATGGCACTAGCCTGCTGATTGATTGCTTGTCAGGATTCGAGGGCAGAATTCTTCTCGAACGAGCTTCGAAAAGTCAGCAGCTGCTTCTGGTCGGAAAAACGCTGGAGAGGAAAAGGATCTCTGGGCTCGGCTCGATTCATGGGCTCGCTGTGCGCTCGGTAGCAGCTGATGGGAAGGCCCGAAGGATTTGCTGCCACCGGCAACGGAATGAGCTAACGACCTGCCGTGGGCCTTGTTGCTGCAGAGGATCTGTGCTGTCTGCTGGACCGGCGATGCGATGGGATGCGATCGGATGAGATGAGATGAAATGAGATGAGACCCCTGGCAGTCGAGAATTTGAGCGGAGGGCTTCTGGCCCGGGAATAATTTGCGTGGAGGGAGGGAGGGAGGGTTAGGACGAGGGTGCAGCCGGCGATCATGGCGATGGCAGCAGCAGGAGCGAGAATTCCCAGTTGTTGGGAGGCAGTGGGACGCGGCACGGAGGTCGGCCGAGCTCTGTTCGCCCTGTACAATGGCTACGGAGTTGCGCGCAATCGCGGAAACGAATTCTCCGATCGGAATCGGTTGAAAATCCTCCAACGACTTGCCAATCTCAGTCTGGAAGGCATTTCTCCTCCCGCTTTCTCGAGTCTTGTTCCTTCCTGCTTCTCAAGTCGTGCATTTCTAGTCCCCAACCAGTATGATAAAATCAGGCTGCCAAATATGGTTAGATCCCTGGCCTCCAAATCGATTCTTAAATCCTAAATTCCTCGTGCTCACGTCTTGACAGTCGAAACTCTCGATAGGGAAAATCAGAACTCTACACTGGTGAGCACGAGTCACACACTTCGATCGTGGCAAAGGCACTCGAGTTCGAATCAAGTCGATCGTAGACAATGGGGCAGCACTGGTCGCCTGAGCCGATGCAGGGATTAGATATGAGCCTGTCTGTCTCAGCAGTCCAGAGCACGAAATCTCACATGTTCGGTGATCTCACTTGCACGCCTGTTCGCAATTTGGGCTGAAGGTGGCGAGCACTCTCGTCGAGGAAAATCCTTTGGGTTTCTCAGTTTGAAAGGGAATTAGTTCAAACTGCATATCCTGTATCGACCATGTCGTGTAATTGTAGTGTAATTGTATGGGGCAACGAGTATGAGTAGAATGCTCCATCGACGGATGGGCATGAATGAATAGGTTGGGAGCCCTCGATTTCGTGGTGGGCATTGAGAATACCCCCAATTGCTTTACTACAGAATCCAATATCGTCTCTAAGGTGGATTCCGTTCGGCATGGCGAACCCTTGCAGATATTTGCGAGGCTGAAAACCGGGAGCTTCCTCCACCCAAGCCGAAGGTAAATTCTCGATAAGAATGTGTTTTGTAAGATTATGGAGCTCATGAACTGCATGATCTTACGGAGCCAAATAAGTAGGTCCTCTTTGAGAATCAATGCCTTCGAATGAGCTCATCCAGAAGGGGTGTTTGTGGCTTGAGCGAAACCTACTGACAGAAGTGCATGGTGGTCCTCTTTCCTCTTTCCTTGCGTTTTGAATGGTCAAGGCTGTGGCTGTTGTGGTTCCTGGGAGACGAAACTCAGTTTCTTGTATAGTTCATGTCAGTGTTGACACAATTTGTTCCCACTCTCCCGAGAATGGGATGAGAGCAAGGACGTTTGACTGAAGGAGCTTCAGATCTGGGCAAAGGCCACAAGATTGTTGATTGTTGTTCTGTTGACGTAGTCAGCCGGGTAGAGATGGTTGTCCCAGTGAAGCTGAGAAGAGCGGAAGGGATTTGTTATGGATGGCAAGACCTAAACTTGCTCTGCCGGTTGGCTCTACGAGGAATTGCAGAAACCGATTGTGAAGGTTCCTCACTTTCGTAAAGGGCCGATGACAGTTGATGACATTCCGCAAGTTCTTTTGATGCGAGGGAGGCGGAAAAGCTCCCAGATTTTGAACAAACTCAAAGAGGACATAGCAAAGCGAGAGCTCCCTCCGATGCCCACAAGTAATGCCCCATTATTTCCATTTCGAGCAGATTGACATTATATTGAAGCTCACTGCAGCACTACTAGCATACCACTTGGCTCTCCTGCATGGTCGCTGTCTCCTTTGGCACTAGCTTGCTATTAGTAAACAGGGGAATGGGCCCTGATTGACGACTGGACCTTGTAACGTCGTATACAGCTTGCATTAAACTTCGAAATCCGATTTTTATGTTGCTGTTCTCAACGCAGAGCCCTTGCTCGATGAGAAGGAGAAGCAACGACTTCAGTATGTGTTCGAGTGGAGTGGACGAGATTGTGGTTCGGTAAGATGTCCTCGATCACTTAGTACAAGATGGATGGGATTAGCTTCATAGTAGATGATGAGCACAAATCCCCCAATACTTACCCAGACGAAGAGATTCTGCAGAGTTTCTACCAGTGGAGGGATGTAATAGAAGCGTTCCTGTTGCTGGTAATCTAGCTTCGGAAACAAACTCAATTGATCCAGTACGGGTACTGAAAGGCTAGAGCATTGTCGGTACTTGTAGTGTCCCCTCTGGAAGTACTGGCAGCGAAATGTTGTGCCTGCCTACTAAACTTTGTTGCAACGTCACGGTCACGGCCTCCAACACTTGACTTTCTTTCTGAGCTGTTCAGCAGCTTGTCGTAGCTGATTCTTTTCTTTCATCTAGGATGACGAGGATGAGCCGGTGGTGCCTGCAAACCCACCTCCTCCTCGGGGTTCAGTGGAAGAACAAGAGATGCTTATGGAAGAAAGTGAGTAATCTGCCATCTACTACATAATCTCGTTCTCTGCCAATTCATCCCGAGTAATTAGACAATAGTTGCTCCTGCCCATCTCATCGTTCTGTTCCGATATTTGATTCATGTTATGTTGGATTGGCGGTCAGTTGGGCATGAGATCGAGGAGAGGCGAGTGTTCTTAGACAGAATGTATGAGCTGGGAAGAGGACCGAAGTACGAGCCCATAATTCACGCAGAGATTCAGGAGGTACGCACATTTCTGCCAAAATTCCTCTCGTGGCATGCTCAGGATACTCATTTTATGCTCAAGAGAATATCCATGCCTTTAACGTGGCCGCTCAACTTGTAAGCAGATTAGAGGGAACATAAAACGTCAACCAGCACCGACCGGCATTGCATCGAGTCCCTTCCAAATCATTGCTGATTATTAATTTTTTCGGTCCTCGAGTGAGCTTTCAAAATCATTCACAGGCTTTTCAGTACGAGTTCAACTACCGAGAACGCTCAACTTAATGACAACTTGTTTGACTCGTAATCATGGGGCCAACAGAGGATACGCCAAATGGAGCTGCTCGATAAAACCATCACGCTCATGGACAAAGAGCGCTTGGAACGTCGTCGGCCCAAGTGCTCTGCCAGGTCTTCCGTCGTGTCCCGAGCCACGAGTAAGCAGAGCACGAGATCCCATTGTGACGAGTCCGAGCGAGGCCAGATGACTGATCTGGACAATGATGAAGTTCGGTCGACGGTGTCTTCGCACCGTAGCTGGGCAAACGAGGAAGGGGAGGACCTTGGTTCAGAAAGATCGTTCAGCCGATCCCAAAAGTCAGACCAGCCTCACACGGCCAGCGGCAAAGGATCCGAATCGGGCAAGTCCTTGAAGCTATCTAGAACAGGGAGCAGGCCCAGCAGACCTTCGACCTTCCAGACGGCGAGCGCTCGATCCAACCTGGAGTCCTCCATCCCACGATCTCAAGCTTAATTGGCATTCATCCACAAACCGTGCTGCTGCAATCATCTTCAGACACCAATTCCAACTACCAGTTTCCAACCAGACTGCCAGGCTGCCAAAGCTTGCCAGCTCCATCTCTTCTTTTATTGGAGCAACCGCAACACCATAAAAGGTCCTCGGTAGGAAGATCAAGTGACTAAGCTCTGCTCTTTCAGTGCCCTATGAATGTCAGAACGTGAAACCGTAAGGTTCCGGGGGAGCACCGAAGGTGAGAAGCTTTTTTCAACTTTCAAAGAGGAGAGAGTAAAGTGGATCGGATAGAGTATAGAGGTGCAAATCACAGGCAATTTCATATATTATAATACTACATTAAAGTATACGGCTATAGATAAGTACCGATTCTTTTCCCGATTGATTTTGAGCCGTGAAGGTAAAACTGGAAACCGAATTCAGAGAGTAAAACAGACTTCTCCTCTAGAGAGAGGGTGGAAGAAGAATTCTGACGTATTTGGCCGTCCTCCTTCGGATAGCTTGTAGCATTTCTCGCTCGTTTTCATCGAACCGAGAGCTCATCAGGCAGTAGCATCTGAAGAACTCTGCAGCGTAGCTGGTGGCAATGACGAGGTTTTCGAATACACAGTACGTTCCGTTTGCCTCATTCCTCTTAGGACTTACAGGACCTTGCGAGTAGCGGGACAGAGGCTCGTCATCTGGAAGATGATCACGTCGCCCGCAATGTCTTTGGCTCGAGCAGCTGACGCATGTTGCAGTCAGACGCACACATGCGTTCTTACAAGAGTCGGAGACATTGCTCTGCGTACAGAACTGACTTTTTTGTATCGTAGCGTTTCGGTATTGTTGACCGTAATGGACCGAGATCCTGGCTGAGCAGCAGCAGCAGCAGCATGTGAGTGACTCTCAGCCGAGAAAAAGGGAGCGTGCCTTCGAGCTCTCAACGCATTTTCCACACTCGGTGTCAGTCATGCTGCTGATGCTACTTGTCGAATGCGAGTTGCTCGCTCAAGAATGTCATAGGCCTCTTCTGTCCATCCATTCCAGTACATATTCTGGAAAAGGGGCAGCCTTGGAGCACGGACGAGATCGTGTCTTCGGTGCAGGGAATGAACGAGTTGCCGTATGTGACGGACTCGACATATCTGGATATGAGTGTCTGCTTTGCTGAAGAACGGAAAGGAAAGGAAAGGAAAAGAGAAGTGAGACCAGACTGCGTAGCATTCTCTCTCAGGGTCATGGAGGTGAGGCTGCTTCCACGATGGTCCTTGAGCTGCTCGTGTACTCATGCCTCTACCGTTCGACAGAAATTCTTGAGAAGGCCACCAATTAATATGAGATCCTAACTCGAACACAAACACGTGACTCGATTCTCTCCCTCTCTCGCTTTCCATCTTTTCGTCTCTTACGCAGATCAAAAACGTGGTCACGAGAGATCGAGGGTGCATGCAGGCACTCGGAGGGCTCAGGAAGTAATTCCACTTTGTCGAGAGGAATCGGACATGCAAACTGCAAGGTAACTTTGCTCGCAGGTACTTACCAATGGCAGCGATGACCTATTCGGGTGGAAGCCCAAGGAAATGGCCGACATGGCACTGTCACTCTTTATGTTCTATCGGATCAGCATTAGCGGTTGAACGAAGAAGATCCCCAGAGAATTATACCACTCGCGAATTGAATACGGTGGACACATATCCTGCCAGTGAGGCCGTGAGCCTGGGCCGTGTGTCGAGCATCAGCCCTTGCATGTGCTCCGGCTCTCTGGACTTGCTCCTTTGCACTAAATCTCCCTCCCCTTTGGCCTCCCGACTTGGCACCATGCCGTTCGGAGTGAAGGCCACAGCAATAAATGGGTCAACTCGAGGCGAATCCCCGCCATTACTCACAAGGGCGTGGCACAGACACCGACTGTCGAGCTTGGTCCGATTCTATCTCGCTCTACGATTCCCGAGCCGCAGGAACTTGTGCTCCTTGCAGCGCAACATGCACACTGCCTCTTGCCCTCCCCTCCAAGATTTCGCTCCAGGGCGAGGCTGTAGGTGCAGGTGCGGTGGAGTAGGCTGTCATGATGCGCGTTTATCCGCTCCACGAAACAACGAGAAATTCCTCGGATAGAATTCAAGTTAGGGCAAAAAGTGTGAAGGCGAGGATGGGTGGGGTGGGGTGCAGGCACCCGCAATTTGCAGGTGCGGAAAAGGGGACGAGAGGTCACTTGCAGGAGTGAGAGGTGAGGTGAAGGAGGGTGAGGAGAGAGGGTGGTCGGGATCATGTCGGAGGCCCGAGGGGCCTCGCAGTGCATGGACATCTGGAGCAGGAGATCGCAAGGGCGGACTGTCTGTCACAGCACTGACGGACTCAGAGGCCCTCGTCCTCGGTGTAAATCTTTGGCCACGTTTAATGACGCCTGGTCAAAGTGATGTACGACAATTTGGTAGCAAAAGGCGTCGAAATCATTTCACTGGCTCAGAATTCTGCCACAAGCACCTCTGGACCGGGAAAATCTTTGCGAAAGTCATCAAAGGCTGCAGCAGCAGCCCTGCTACAAACTGCACTCCCTGCCCTCCCTGCGCTCTGCACTCTGCTCCGGGGGGCCAGTGCAGGCCACGCCACAAACAACTCGGTGCCTCCTCCCCATCTCCAATCTCTCGCCCGTCTCCCATCCCACTTCCTCCCTGTCAGAGCTCGCTCTCTCTCGCTCGGCTCGCAGAGTCGCACTCCCAGCGCGCAAACAAAGCTAAATTACTCTCGCCCTCGCTCTTCGTGGCGCCCTGCCACTGGCTTCCGCAGTTTCTCCACACACTTGCCGATCATCATCCCTCTGTCTCTAGTCTTCGCGCTCAGGCCTCGGTACGCGAGAATAATGCGAAGTGGCTTCGTGAGCTAGCGAGTGAAGTGCAATCAGAGGCTCTGGTCAGGGACGACGAAGAAGGGGGTCCTTCCCTACGTTTGCCGCCAACCTCCTCCCCTTCCTCTCTAACTGTTAGGCCCGATGGCCCGCTTCGGGGCCAGTGGGGACCGTTTGCTGTACGGACCAGGTTTTCGCCACTTGGCATGGCACCCTTTTGATAGCGACATCCGCGAACCTTACATAAGTTCCCTCTCTCGGACCTGGTCCACTCCGAAGGGACGAATTCAAAAGGCCTCTGCTATTACTTCCCTCTTCGTTCATCTTCGGAAGAGTAGTGATCCAGTGTCTTCTGCTGTTGTTCTCTAGCAGTTTATTGCCATCCTTGTTGAATCGTTACGTGGAAAAGGGTGTCACGACTTTTGCTGTCTTCTTATAGGACCTTGACTCGACGAAAATCTCCAAGCTTAAGGTTTTCTGATCACACCTATTTATGAAACACATATACACAAAAGGAGATGAAGCAGCGAGGCTCAGAATCAGTGTGTTCATACGTTGGCTCGTTGTCCATCTCCCATCTCGATCGTTGACCGTGAACATGTTTTGATGCCATATACTCTCGTTAGAGAGAAGGGTGACAAAGTGATGAAGCAGTAGAAAGGAGGACGTATTAGAATCCCAAAATGAATCCATTTCCAGTGACTCATTCTTGGATGCAAGAACAGGAGTTGCTGCCCTTGAGAGAATTTTGTTCCCCACAAAGTACGAAGCTGGTGAACATCCACGACCAAATCTACACCACCAACCAAATGCCACCTATTTGCTCATTTTTCTCATAAACTTTGGAGAACCGAGGACGGATCTTCACAGTTAGCATGGTACAAGCACAAATGCATGCTCACCCGCGACGAAAGCATGACCGGGTAACAATCTAATCAGCCAAAAAATATGGCGGTTTACCAACCAGTCAATGCTTCACGAATCACGTAACGATGACGGAATAACAATTATCCGAGAGCCCAGAGAACGAGCACACTGCCCGGCCTCGGTTCCGAGTCTAAGCAGGCTCGGAGATGAGCGAGGTTCGGATGTGCAGCTGGCCCTGGCGGGTCAATGAGGTGAGGTGGTCAGTCAGTCTGTAAGTGAGCTGCCGCGGCGGGAGAAGTCAGCACCGGCGAGGCCGGACGAGAGAAACCCCGACCGGGCCACCGGCGGAGTCGCCGCTGATTACTCCGTCACGCCCGAATGGCTTCGCTGGCGGGGCCCGCCGTCCGAAGAAGGACGGAACCATCCGTGTCCGGCCAGTCGAGTCCAGCGTGACGATGCTGGTGGACAAAGCCCGTCGGACCTCCGGACATCCGTGTCTGGCTGGCTCTTCGTCGTTCTTGGTCGTGTCGCCTTGTCCTCGAGACTACGAGCCCTCCATTTCGGATCTCAGCATTTTCCCCAACATTTTCTCGAGCCCTGCATTCTTCGAGAAGTCGAAGGAAGGCCCATGCCCTTCCCTTCACAATCATGCGAATGTCTTGATCGACACAAACCCCTTTCGAAACGGCCTCGATCGGTTTCTTTATTGGTCTCCTCTCACTTGTCGAAGGCCTCGATCGATTTCTTTATTGGTCTCCTCTCACTTGTGGAACTATGTCGCACGCGCATCGCTCTGTTAGTTGCGCGTGACAACATGATAGTACGGCGGGTAGACGTCCTCGTGGGTGGCATATGGCATATTCCTCGATGGCCACTCACTTTCGAAGCTTATCCCAAAACTTCGATACATCATTAGGTTTGTATGCCTTATTGGATTTTTAAATCTTTTAATTTTCTGTATATATATCTGCTTAGAAGGCTGTGACTGGTCTGTTCGATCATGCTATCGGCTGGCGTCAAGAATCGTGCATTTCGGTTGAGAGAAATGAACCCAAAACGAATTGACAAAGGTAGCCAAGAATACTACACGAAGTTCTTCGCATACACTTCCAGTAACATGAATCTGACAACTGCAGGACTTGGGTGAAATCAGAACAAAAATATTAAGTTGTTCATACTCCAAACCATGAATCGGTCACAAATAGTATTCCAGAGTTTTGATTGTATCACTGAGCAGATAACATTGTTAATATTTCACATCAGCGCAACCTCGTCGCGCTGGCTCGTGAAGACCATAAATGTATCCCTTTGTACAATACGATTGATCACTTACATGTGCAATAGTTACTAGCTTGTGCGAGAAAAGTCAGCCCGTGCAGAACGAGCATTGCCTTGAATTATCCATCAAACGAAACTTCGTACCTGACTGGACATACGTGCCTTCGAATAATTTTCATGGTGTCAAGAAATTAGCTCGAGTATAGATCAGGTATCATCGACTTGCACATAAGTAGTATCAATTATGAAAATTAAGTAGATCATTTTTTGTACAAGGAGAATTTACTCTTTGTATTTAAACTTATATATATTTAGAATATACACTAAAGTCATGGGAATCAATATATGGTTCAAGAAGACCAGGTTTCAGGTTTATAATGATCTATTTCGTTGAACAAATAACAAATTACCAAATATAAAGTTGTAAAGTTACACATATACAGTTTATGTTTCTACTTCTTTCAAATTAAAAACATTGATATACTTTTGTAAAAATATCAAAGATGTTAAATTTTTAGTAGGTTATTTAAATCCTAATATATACAAGATATGGCATTCATGAGAAATCCATCATTTAACCAGATCGATTCCATATGGAAATCACACGGAATTTCGGACGCTTAATATGAAAGAACCGCGATGGAAAATATAATTCCATTGTAGCGAGATTGGGAACTAACCACGTGTTACACATTCGTGTTCATCTCATTTAACTCTCGACGGGGTCTTCCCGTCCTCGTTGCTGTGTTACTAGATGGCCCTTTAAGCTCTTCCCATGCTGCAGCAGGTTTCTTTCTACTGGCAACTGCGTAATGCGGTCGACCACGGTTCTTACAAGTGGGAAGAAGAACTACGTCCAAGCGAGCAGACACAACCGCATCCCGGACAGCAACAGAGCGGATTGTGTGAGAAACCTGTACACGTACGAATTTCACGACACGGCAATGGACTCCGAGCTCAGACTTAATGCGAGGGAGTGTGTGAGGCCTGCTGCATTCTCCTTCTGATTCGGCAAGTGACCTCGTCTCCACGTGCCTGTGGCCCAAGGTCTCAGTTGAAATCAGTTGAAAAAACAATGCAAATCGAGCATTCGCGAGGCGTTCACTTGCCCCCCATCAGCAGCAGCAGCAGAAGCAGCAGCGAAACGGTGCCAGTCTCCGTGCATTAGCGTGTCTGTCTGTAGACTTCGTCAAATTGCAGACTCCAACGAGCGATCGAGTAAATAAACGCACTGCAGAGCGCTTGCTTCGTTACCGGTAATTGTCCCATTACACAGACTTGAAGCGATGGTCAGTGAAGGGGAGAGTCTGGGGACCGCTGGTGCGTTTCTCGACCCCTGATCGGCACGTGCCCAGAGACTTGATTCGGCCCCAATTAGACGCTTGGGACGCTTCTCGTCTTCTGCGTGACTGCAACGTCAAAGTAAAGTACTCGTACTGAAGTATGATCAAATCTCGATCCGTCGCACACATACAGTACTTATGTCCAGGGATCAGACTCTGAACCTGTCTCGTTTCCGTCATGCTCTTCTGTCTGCTCATCACACTTCCGTCCAGTCTGTCAATTCCACAGTCTGTTTGTTTGTCTGCCTTCCGTCCTCCTGCTGAACCCATGTCTTCGAACGCCAATCATTACTTGCTGCTGCCCGTGCAAACATTTGAGTTTGGGTCATAATTATAAAAAACTTCGTACCGAATTAAGTTGAATGTCAATCATACCCTTTTGAAAAGAGCATAGGGCCTTATGCAAAAGTCTTCAACTGAATGATTCTGAATCATCTGCACATGTCATATCCGAACTGCGCTTCCGTAATTCTGTGAGGAAGATGACCGCGTTGTGTGCTCAGACCTGCAATCACCTAAGCCCTCCTCCTGTCTTCCTCCTACAATGATCACAGCAATGCAAAGAGGAGATTGGCAAAATCGTGCAGACGACAACAGATTGGACGAAGTCCACAGGGCTGACTTAATTGGGCCCTGGTTGGCTCCAGGCTCTGCAGGGGAGTCAGGTGCTTGTCTTCTAGGAATGACGCTGCTTTGAGCTGCAATGCGGGCTCCTCATCTGCATATTGTTCGTCCGTCCACCGCAAACCGTCTCGTGTCTCTGCCCGCAAGTTGATGAAGTTGTAGAGAAATACTGGTTTCCATGGCTCACAGTAGTTCCCTCGAATACGATGCCAGTGCTTGTTCTAACTTCGGACGAGATATTTTCCTTGGCTGTGCTGACGATTAAGTCAACCAACTTGATGTGGTAGATAATCACATTGTGAACGGATGTATTGCTAAACTAAAATTACGCAGCAAAGACAACATCGAAGGATGTCTCTCAAGCCAAAATGTACTTAAATCTTGTTTATACACTTGGTGTATAAAAGTGGACTTCGTGTATATATCTATATATCCCAAGGTTTACATACTTTTCTTTGATCCAATATAAAGACACGGGCAATTCATACTCCTGGAGGTCATCAATGTAATGCAAGATGTACTTGAAAGCATTCTAGATAATACACAAATTCTAACGGAGTTCGAGCTCTACCTGTCAATGTGGGATGGCCACGGTCTGCTATAAGGTTCATAAAAACCTGAGACTTGAACGCTTTTACAAGTCTCATGATGATAAGAGCAAAGCCAGAAGCACTCCGAGCTCGGACATATCCTGGCCAGATTCTCAAGTTCGAAATATTGCGATGTGATTGAATATATGTCAATTTATTGGGCTTCTATTTAATACAACTTCTCAGTGGTTAAAGATATGAAGGAGAAACAGATGAATGATGGGTTGTAGTAATCAAGACACCGCCCTGAAAAGAATTTCTGCTCACCAAAAGGGAACAACATTATAAATAGTACTCAAGCAGTACATGAAGTTCATGCTTCAGTTGGAACTTTAGCATATTTTGTCATCTGCAACACTTGACAAAAAGACCCCCGGGGAAATGCACCTTGTGACCACAAGCCTATTAATTCAAGCCACCGAAATCGCATCCTCAGCAAAAAGGGCTGGAGTGTGGAAAGGCCAGTCAGAGCATTAATATTTCAAGTTTATCATTTCCAACTGAACACGACGAATCGCGACTTCAAGATCTAATTATACGGTAACTTGAGGTCGGTGCTCTGATGACATCGAAACCTCACACTCTCAAAAAGTTGCAAAGTAAGAACTTGGAAAGAGGAAAGCTTATGTATCACATTAAGTTTGAAACCATTATAGCATTCTTGCCCTTACTGAAGAGGACGAGTTAATACCTAGACTAGTTCTTCGTATATTATAGGGCTATATTTTGTCAACTATGGAGAGTGAAGAAGAAGTTGTTTTCATTTTTCAATTTTGATTTCTTGGTACTAATTTGAACAATATGGAACATTGTATAGAGATGTACTCCTGAAATTCCATTTTTATTGTTAGGTTTTAAACATACATGTGGATTAGCTTATTCAATATAAAATCCATTTGAATGCTCATCTCACAGAACTATGGTTATGTCGGTGGGCATAGATAAATGATAGAGTAACTAGTGGCCTCATCCATCTCTTTGTACTAGTCAAATTTCACTTTATTTATTGTAGCTTTGGATTCTAGTTTGAAGAGTATGTGCGCTTACTTGACATATTTTTGGAGAATGGTCGAGTTTAAATTAGAATATATATTAGGACCACTCCCTTAATTTATCATGTAACATGTTTTAGGCAAACTTGCCCTATACATATCAGAGTCATAAACTCAAAAGGTATTTCATATATGTTACGTTAAATATGATAAATCTATCATTGTGATGTTATTGGGGGCTAGCCACCTGTTAGGGCTTGGTTGCTCATATGCCCGGGTTGCTAGGGTATCATCATCCTCTTTGCTTTAGTACTTGGTAAAATGATGTAACTAAATAAATAAATAAATATAATGTGTCTTCAAATTTATATGAAATTTGACTGGAAATTTAGGACGGCAGCAAATCTGGTAAATAATAGATACCTGAGTTTCTGAAGCGGAGAGCTTCAAATCTGGTTTGCAGTAGCTGATCCCTCGTCCAAGTTCTGATGGGATCGAACGTGGAAAGCACCGATGTTCGGCATCATCAAAATCCCAACAGAAAAACCTGGCTCAGACATCACAACCGTGTTTGATTAACACAACCCAAAATGGAGGAGGATCGCGGAATTTGCCACTGTCTCGATTCTCGTCTGCCGACCATCACCTCATAAAAGATCTGCTTCTAAAGCTCAAATTCGCTGCTACTTCTTCTAGCTCCAGAGGAAATTTGCGTTTTAAGGCTCGCGACTTTGGCGAGTCCCGAGGAACAATGAGTAGCTGAAGTCGAATGTTGTACCGCGTTTGCATGTGTATAGTGTGAGGGGCATTTGCATGTCCCAAATCCAATGCTCGAGCTCATCCGGTGCGAGGGGAGGGGAGGGGAGGGGAGGCGCATCGAAGTGCTGCCTGAATCATTGAATGATTGGGGAGAAGTTGGAATGATCGACTTCTGCTGCCAAGTCAGGAAAAGTTTCCATCGCCAGCGTGGGCCAAGCGGTTATCATGCATTTGTAGTGTGCTCGAGTACATCTGCTGTGATTCCCCAGCCACAGAGGGTTCCACGGATTCTCTCTTCAGGGCCATGGCCCATTCCACGTTTCTACTCGCGTGTACTTTTTTTTCACTGTCCCGTCGACTTACCTCGCAGCTTCTTCTCCCCTTCTCACTGCCCATTTCCCCCACTAGCAAATAAATAACGCCAGTGTGCTTCCCCTTAGCATTTCTGACCCTGCAGGCTCTGGCCATACTCTTCAGGTGACGGCCTTTTGGGCAAAACGTTTATTCTCGCTTTTTTTTCTAAAGGTCAATGGATACCCAGTAATGGAGCACAAAGGGTGGGAATTCAGGGAATTCAGTCCATCGAGCCTACATGGATGAAACCAAAGACGTAGAATGGGGGCTAGCCCCTTTCTCTTTTCATCACATTGCTTTGCTACTTCAGACTCCTGCCAGCACTACTGATTACTCCTGGTGCAGCTGCTAGCCAAAGGATAGTTCAACGCTCTGTCTCCTCTTCAGACTTTAGGTGAGATCCTCAATCTCCAACAAATGCATCAGTCGTTTAACCTTCCAGCCTGCGAGTGGCCTCGTAAAATATACGTTCCGGATCATTCTCGACCGACATAAATAACGAAAATGAATTTGTTTCTTGAGAACTGAGAAAATCTTCCACTGTTGAAATGGAAGTGTGTGTACTGCGATTTCGTCGCTCATTTGTGCTGTCATGGTAGTGTACTTTGACCTGAACACAGTACAAGGATAGGCCATTCCAAGTCTTTGAACTTCGATTTGTCTCTAATATTATTATTTCAGCACCAGGTTGATTTACTCAAGAAATTCATTCTGAGGCCTTCTTCAATTTATATCCAGGAAGTACGCTCTTGTGGATGATATATAAGAGTACTTTGACATCGGAGTACTCATGTCCACTTCAATGCACTACAGGGAGCAGAGAAAATCCAAGCATATCTCACCTTGAGTGTAATAGCTGTATTCACACACTGTAGACAAAAATCTATGTCTCATGATGTTTTCGCGTCTCTACCTACTCTTGGCCCTTCTATAGGTTTCGTCATATTCTGATTAAACAATGTATGACACTATGCTTGAGAATAAGGATGAACGTCTGGAATTCCATCCTCTTTTATGATAGCTTGTCCTAAGCAATCAGCAACTGGGAGCATATACTGGGTCTGAATCTACATTCAACCCAGTATAAATATATAAACTTTGAAGATATCTTTTATCAGTAGATTCAAGAGACTTGGTCACAGTTCAGGGTAGAGCTAAAATGATCTACTGTCCTTGAAAAGAAAAAAATCACATTACCATATCTACATGTGCTGATGCTTGAGGCTTCGAGAAATAATGATAAAGTACGAGCTATGACCAGAGACAATAAAACACTATCACTCTCACTAAAGTTGCATGATTGAGTGTAATTGCATTTTATAATGAGAAGGTCGATCAACTCCAATGCATGTTCTTCCGAACTCTTCGCACTATTCGCACTAATAGATTCTTCTGTCGAACTACAGATATACGTCCTAGTCTACATTAAAACTAACCTGGTTCTCTGATTCCAAATTTGAAGTACCAATATTCCTTTCACACCAACTCAGGATATTATGTAACCTGAGAACAAAGAATTCCAACCAATATTTGCAGTCTACCAACTCAGGATATTAGCTATTCTCGTAATCAGCCTATGTTGTTTCTTCGACTCTATGGGAACATTTGATTGGACTATACGCCTCCTCTCTTCAGCTGTCCTTTCCATGATGTCAGTTTTCAGGCAACAGCATAGAATAAGTTACAGTCCTCCAGCATGAGTCCCAAGGTGTTTCTCATTATTGGTATGATGTCCTCGCTTTTGCTATTGGTCTAGTCCACACTAGCATTCACTTTCCTAAAGGGGAACAAATCAACTATCTATACTCATAGGTTTTCAAGTTGTGATGTCCTGCAGCTCCACCATTTAAAAGCAGGTAGTATATAGGCACTATGCTTGTGCTACTATGACAGTTAGCTCCCAAGTGAATCCTTCACTTCCTTTTAATCTTTCATTTTGCTTTTCAGTTTGGAACGTCCTAGTAAAGAAAGCAGTGCGTATCTTTTTCATGGAAGCTTGCGATAGTAGGTGAGCTTGTTGGTTGCTAAAAGAGCTTGTATGCACCGAGAAAGTTAATTCCTTCTGTATATTATTCGAACCTCCTATAGCATTTATCAGTGAACGCAATTTTTCTTGCCTTTATTCGCTAGACCGCCAAAGAGAGGGGGCCTCTCAAGTACGATATTCATGAAGAATTGGAATTCTTCTCATGTTCAGGATTCTGAGGAGATTTTTCTCCTATTCCTACAAATCGCTTCAATCTGTTAGCTTGCACTCCTACATGAGAGCCCTAGGTTCACGACATTGAGCTAAGTTGTCTACAGCGGGGCTATTTCAGTTGTCACTGCTGTAGGCTCAGAGAGAGGGAGAGATTGCTACCAAATCTTTATGACCACCACGTTTTGATTTTTTTGATTGCTCCCTTGCTTTTCTACGTTTGAAATATCAGCGACATCCTTCCTTTACAACTGCCTCGAGGATTTG